ATTTTATATGGAGGGGTTTAATATATCAAATTTCAATCCCTAAATGCAATTAGGAACTTGGTGCAAAATCGATCTACATATCGAATTAAATACTCCCGTAATTCTATTATATATACAGAGAGTTCAGTTTATTTGAATGATCATCATTTCATGTGTACACATATTATGGAACCCACCTACATTATTCAAATATTTTAATATTTGATAAAATAGGTTAATAATAACTTTTCTTTTATTTGATTTTAATATCTTGTGCATAATTATTTGTAGGATTAAATATATTCCCGTAAATCATATCTATTGCTTAAATGTAGTTCTTTTCTTTACTTTCTTGGTGATCATTTACGGTTTGGCAAGCAATAGCAATCATAACAACCAGCATGATGCAAAAGTTTTAAAAAGTTCGAAATTTTCGTGATTTTCATTGTCTTGAATTTTCAGGATGTTACAGAATTCGCTTGGATATTCTTTTTACAAAATCATGAGCTACAATTAGAGGTCCGATCGCCTCAAGTTAACATGCAATTTTTTTTAAAGAGATTCCTTATACGACTCCTTCTGTATTTTTAAAAACGAACAAAATTAAAAACCGACTCAAACACGGATCTGCATTTCCAAAAATATTGAAATTAAAAACCGACTCAAACACGGATGACGTACCAAAATACTGGCAAAAACATCTTTAATTTTTATAGTAGAGAAGTGTATTTGTTACCGATCCTCTACATCAAACCGGATATATGCATTGAAAACTTAGCCCGGCAAATAACCCAATTTAAAATTTGCTCCTATGGAGATTAGAACTCAAGACTTTGGAGTGCTACTCAAGTCACTGCAACCACTAAGCTACATGTCCTTTCTTGTTGGCTATGGATCCATCAAGATCCTTTAACGGATAATCACTGCAATCACTAAGCTACATGTCCTTTCTGGTTAGCTATGGATCGATCAAGATCCTTTAACGTATAGCCATTGACATGTAAGACATATTTCCTATTGTTCTACGTATTAATGACCAAATTTCTTTAACTTTACATCAGATGATTTGCTTCCGATTCTATTTTCTAAAGAGGTTTTAGTACTAGTTGGTTTAGTTTTAAGATACTTTTTGTAGCTTTATTTGAGTTGAACTCGGGGATGTAACCAAACTGAGTTGTTTGTTGTACGCTATTGTCAAGCAAGCTGCCCTACGGGATATTGGTTGCTTCCAATGAAAAGCAGGGTCAATCCCCGATCTTTATTCTAAAAAGAAAAAAAACGAAAAGAAAAGTCGGGTAAGTGCTCAAGAATGGTGTTTAACGTGGCGACAAATCTGTATTCGATACACCTATAAATTGATCAGAAGACAAAACACACCCACACCAAAAGTTTCTTTTTGCACATATTCTCTCCTCAAATCTTCCCTATCTGTCTCTATATATCTACCTATCTCTCCATGTGTTGTATGTTAACAATATCTAGTATATCCCAAAAAAAAATCCCCAGTATCATTTCTCAGATTTTTGAAGTGTGCCAACCAGGAGTGGCAAAATCCCTGTCGGGGGTGGGGACCTATCCCTATGGGGCCGGGGCGAGTTAGATTTTCAACCCGCGGGACCATTAGGGCGGGGCCCCGCCAAATGCGAAGCCAAGGCCAGGAGATTGCTTTCACCCGTGGGTTTATCTGCGGGGGCCCGTGATAGAAGGTCGATCAATCAGTGTTTTTTCATATGACTAATAAAGAAAGCACACTTTCATTGGCCCAATTACTGTTGTAGATATCATTTCTTCCTATATAATTGGTACCCACTACAAGTTATTTATTCTATAAAACTCAAATACTGTGAGGCCACATCATCAAGATTATATAGTTGGCAACTTTTTTTTGGCAAGAAGACAATCACGATTGCAACACCTAAACACCTTGCGGTGATATGGAGTCGCCAACCACCCCAAACTAACAAAAAGCTAGACCAAGATAGATTTTGATATATTAAACCGGCTAGCGGAGCCGATTTAGATAGAACGATGGATAACTATCCATCTCATGGGAAAATTGAAGGTTTACGGGACAAACCTAGAAAGGATTTCACACTTTCGCAGTGAAGGCAGACGATTTACGGTGCAAATCGATAAAGATGGACAAATTAAAGTAGAGCTATGTAAAAAGTAGAAGCAATATTAAAAAAGCGATTCGATTGATTATGTAGATTGTGCGCGAGGAGGTTGGCGAACTACGGCAACAATGTGGCAGGTCCATCAGTGTGTGAGGATGCCAGCAGCGGTGTTGCCTCTGCAGGGCGTCTCCGCCGCCTCGGGAGCTACCGGCTGCCCTCGTGGAACCGGTTGGTGCCGGCCTTCTCACTCGCAGATCCAGTGGTGCCGGCCTTCTCTCTCGTGGATCCATAGGCCCTAGCCCGAGGAGGGGCGGATCCATCGCCACCGGCCTCAGGTGTGGTGGGCCTTTGCGGCAGCGATGACGACGGCAGTGGGTCTGGTGGCCCCGGCCCCGGGAGGGACGGATCTGCGCCTCTGGCCTCTTGTGCGGTAGGGTCTCGACAACGACGACGGTGGCTAGAACGGATTTGAGCTAGGGTCTCGACTTTTTAAATTTTAGTTTTTTTTTGTGATTTTTGTTCTTGCAGGCAAGTGATATCCCTTTTCACATTGCTGTTGTGTTGCCTATATGGAAGAGATAACTGGGGACAAGTGGTTGCCCTGCCCATCTGAAAAACCTTGTTTAGACGCTTGCAAAAATACTTTTCTAGTTGGCTATACACCTATGCCACAATTCACACGCTGTAATGGGTGCTCCCCACCCACCCCAACACCCACCCCCCCCCCCCCAAAAAAAATGGCAATATATCCTATACACACAAGCTCTCACATTTACACATGTACACACCAACTAACAAATATCACAAAAAAATCTAGAAAAATTTATACATGTACTTAGAATAGTATTACACCTAGAGATAAAATCGTAACCTCAAATTCATTATATTTTAGCTGTAACAAAAAAAATCTAACAATTTTAAGGTTATAATTCTATCAGAATTTTGTCTTTTTTTTTTACTCTCTATATAGAATGAATTTGAAGATGTGATTTTGCATGTAGATGTAATACTATTGGAAGTACATGTATGTTTTTTCTAGAATTTTGAATGATAAGTTTTAGTTCATGTATACCATGTGTACACACGAGAGCATGTGTGCATAGGATACGCTCACTTATAACTTAGATTCTCTATTTATAAAGATAAGATGCAAATCCTGTCAAGATTTACTGGACAACCATGGCACATAAATATAATTATTTATTGTAGCCAATCTGTATCACAGAAATATAATGCGTTCTATTTTGTTGGGAATTTAATTTGTTATTTGATTAATTCTAGAAAAATGGTATTACACCTATGTAAAATTTTTTTGAGGGAATTCAAATTTGAAGATGGGACTTTGTACATTATTGGTGTAATACCATTGGAAGTAGATGTATACTTTTTTATAGATTTTTTTATATTTTGTAATTTGGTGTGTGCAGTGTATTCGTGTAAGATTGTGTGCAAAGAATAAATTCTCTCGTTGAGGACCTTGTGAATGCAATAACCACAAACGAAAAAATAGGAAAAAAAAACTCTATACAATCTTAAGTTCTGTGAAGAATATGGATAACGGATACCCACACGCCTTGCATATCCGACTAGAGATAGAAGGTGAGTTAGGTCCATGTATTATGTAATAAAGTAGGACTCAGTCACATTGTTGCCTTTTGTTCTATGGTAGGGCCTAGAGTCCTAGTTAAATTCTACCATATAATAGATTAAGAAACTGATACCGTATTCGGTTAGGTTCTCCTCTTTGTAACCTTACCCCTGACCTATATAAGGTGAGCAGGGAGCCCTCCAAGAGCATAACCACAATTCAATAGCCAGGTCGATAATACACGCGAGGTGGATACAATCCCCAAATAGGAGTAGAGTATTACCTCTTATCGAGAGTACCTAAACTTGTCTAAATCCTTGTTTCTGCATCATACATTTTTAGATCTCGTGCGCTACCCTCTTTTATTATTGCCGATTTCTAGAATCGACAAGTTCTTAAGTCTTAGAATGGACAACACATGGAATGCCCAATATATATAAATATCTATAGAATTTGTTCAAATAAATCTGAAAACATACTAGAATAGGACATGAGATGGCCACCTTCACAACCCACATGGGCATTGAAGATGGAGGGGTGGAACCGCGAAGGGCCATGGCAGAGAAGCCCCTTGTGGTAGGCATAAGTCAAGAAATACGAGTTATAAACACAAAGACACATTAAAGAAGAGGATTGTGCAATTGTAGAAATTATTTTTATTGACATTTGTTGCCAACCTAATGATTTTATTGGAAAATTCCTATTGTACAAAGTGTTTTGGTAACACTTTTGGTTCCCCTTTCTCGAACTATATGGGCATGTTTGGTAGAGTTCCAACTTCTAAATTTAGCTTTCTGGGTTGGGTCTGGAGTGGAATTGTGGAGCAGTCTAAACCCAGCTCCACCTCTCTAGTTTATTTTATGAGAGCGCTCCACCCAACTCCGCTCTTATTTTATGTGGAGATGAAACTGTTTGGTTAGGCTCCAGTTCTAAGAGAGGTAGAGCTGGATTTGTACCAAACAGGTCCTATGTTTCCGCTGTCGGATTCTTTTTCACTATTTCTCATGTGTTACTCGTTACTTATGGCGTTGTGCTCCATTTTCCAACTTAACTTTATCTTTTTTCCCTATTTTTCTGTTATCCATGTATAAAAATTTATATATTAGTTTTTTCATGTTTTTTTTTGTTTTCTTCAACTAAAACTAGAACCTTCATGAGACAACCTTCAACTTCAATTCCAAATTCAATCAAGTCCCGTTGCAACGCACGGACATCTTGCTAGCTAGTTAGGTAGAAACTAATTAAAAGATAAATTAACTTGTGTTGATCAATCTTTACTAGCAGTAGATCATAGAAATGATCTAGGCCGTTTGATCTTCTTCCTGACAAGGACGACTTGCCATTTTATTTTATTACACAATATTATTATTGGACATACACATACACAATATACTTGGAAGCTAGCATCCATATGCTCTTCTTCCCCAAACACACACTAATTATACAGTCACATAAGGTGTGATCGCAGGGCCATTTTGTCAGCAGTAAGAACTACTGCAAGGCCACCCTTATTCCAATATTAAGCACACATAGTAGTACAATCACACGGCATGCTTTATCTTCTTGCTGTAGCCGGTGCGCCGGTCCCAGTACCTGCTCCACAGCATCACGCCGCCGTAGTTCCTCGACCGCTGCACGATCGGCAGCGCCTCCCCCGCCAGCGCCGCCGGCGGGACGTACCCGCTGTTCGCCGCGCCCGGCGCCGCCGGGAGCCCGAGGTAGACGGAGCTCCTCGGCAGGCTGGACGCCCACTTCCTCCACGCCGCGGCGAACGCGGCGGCGTTGCTGGCGCGGTAGCTGCAGGCCGGGTTGTTGTAGAACTGGACGTGGACGCGGTCGAACACCCCCGTGCGCAGCGCCTCGCCCAGCATCCTGTCCGGGAACGGGCACTGCGGCGCCGCCGTCAGCCACACCTTCTTACCCCCTGGCTTCCTCCCGCTGTAAGCTTTGAGGTACCTACAGTTTTTTAAATAGCGGGCTAAGACATCTAGCGGTAGACAGTCTCAAAACAGGTAACATCGGGTTAAATGAGATGCTATAGCAGTTAAATTTTATACTTCCTCGATCCATTTCATATTATAAGTCGATTTGATTTTTTTTCTAATCAAATTATTTTAAGTTTGATCCAGTTATAGAAGAATATAGCAGTATTTTCAACACAAAACAAACATATCTTTAAAATATATTTAATGTTACATTTAATTAAATCAATTTATTCTATATAAATTAGGTTAAACGTAAAGAAGTTTGAAAAAAAATCAAAACAACTTATAATATAAAACGGAAAAAGTACGTAAGAGCAAATAGCTAGACTTTTCTCAAATCTCAAACAGCTACAGAAGAATATTTAAAACCGTAGCCTTAGGTACCTGGCGAGGTCGTCGTAGTGGGCGGGGCGGCCGAGCTCGATGTCGAAGTCGATGCCGTCGAGCACGGCGTCGCCGAAGGGGCGGGACTTGGAGCGGCCGCCAAGGTAAAAGTCCCAGAGGTGGTCGGCGACGGCCTTGGCGTCGGCCTTGGAGGCGAGGGAGTACCTGCCGATGCCGCCGCCGATGGAGAGGAGGACGAGCACCCCCCTGGACTGGCAGTACTTCACGTCGGGCCCCACGGCGCCCCGGTCGTGGCCGGCGAGGTCCAGCTTGTACCGGCCGCCGCCGAAGCCGGTGAGGAAGGAGACGATCACCGTCGTGTACAGCCCGCTGCCGCACGCCTCCCGGAGCCGCCCCTCCGCCGCCGTCTGCCCCCAGTACACCGTGATCCGCCCGGTCTTCTTCCCGGCCGCCGCCGCCGACGACGACGACGACAGGATCAGCGCGCCGCACATCGCCGCCGCCAGCGCCAGCCGCCACAGCGACGCCATGCTAATTAATCGCTAATGCCTTTGCCTGCTAGCTTAGCTCGATCTCGAGCTGAAGTGTGTGAGCTTTGCATGGTGTGGTGTTCTTCCGAGCTGGTGAATTTATAGGGAGAAGAGTAGGGTTCTCTCGCCTCGTGCGATTCGTGCAGGTGAAGCAATTCATGCTACGACTTTCTCCCTGATTTTAGGATGAGATTGGTCGTAGGATGATTTAAGTCAGAGCATCGATCATGTGATAATATAGATTATATATGGAGGAGGAATTAATTTAGGGTATCCAATAAGCTAAGCCAATGCATGGCAGATTGGAAGGTAATTTATATATATACAACGTGATCCTTGTAAACTACATGTATGAGCAATGCTCATCCTGTCTGCAGATTATCTGCATCTTTTGGAGGGGTTTTACACTCACACGATATGTTCCGTGTGTTCTCAAATAGAGAAGCTTTAATTAAGCCTTTAACTTTCGTAATGCATTTGGGCAGGCCAATACCTTCAAGGCCCTTTTTTTTTTAGACTTTGGCTTATTGGCTAAGAGTTTTAAGTCAGCTTTTTAGTTTATATAAAGTTTAGTGGTGGAGTCATACATCTACCTCATATAAATTGAAAAAACTTCTCCAACCTACCTTTTGGCTTAATAGTGTTAGAGTGGCTTATGGCTTCAAAAAAGCCAAACGAAAAAGCCGCTTGTTTGTTTAGGCTTAGACTTTTCGGCTTATAAATTGGCTTATAAACTTAAACAAGAGGGCCTAAATATTCACATGAATAATTGAATATGAAACATATATACTACTTTGAGTTTCATGGATTTCAAAGCATATATGAAAGCTGGCAGCAAGAATACCACGAAGCTTGGGCTCCTTTAAATTAAACACATGATAAAAAAAATGGAGAAACACGAAAACACAAAAATTTGGTAGAAATGTAAGTGTGAAACAGGAGATTGCAAGACACATAAAATAATTAATATCAGAATGATCGTTTGAATAGATAGCGGGAAAAACGTAGCGAGATAAACTCAAAACAAATTTTCCAAGAGGTTTGAACTTTTGATAATTTCTCTTCAAAATCTCCATAGGATTGTTTATTCTATATAAATTTATAAGAAAAAGATTAGATTCAATCATTTGTTTCAAAGAGCTTCCTACGAGTTCTTTTCAATAGGATTGAAATTCTATAAATTTCTTATATTTCTTTTTTAGAAATCAAAGGGATCCTATTTGATTTATGATGTTTGAATATTCAAAACCCTCCAATGCCATAGTAATTTTGATTTTTGGAGCTTAAAGTGGGGGCTGCAATGTTTAATTTGCTTTTTTTTGGGTTTGAGATTAGTTCCAAGTTCAAATTTTAGGATTTTCATGATGAATTATTTTTTTGAAGTTGGTGCTAAATTTGATTGAGTAACTTGGGCCGGGCCACGAAATTAACAGAAGAGTAAAGTGCATAGGCGGTTCTTAAATTTGTAGAGTTATGCCATCTAGGTCCCCAAACTCTCAAAATGCAGATACAGATTTCAGAACTCGTCAAACTATATCATCCAGGTCCCAAATCGACATAGCCCCTCTAAAATCCTATGTGGCGCTGATGTAGTATGCCACACGGACATGACATGTCCATTTCTTTTTTTTGTTTTTTGTTTTCTTCTCATTCTTCTTTTTTTCCTTTCTTCTGCTCGTGTCACAGAGAAAGGGGAAGAAAGGAAAAAAAAAAGAGAAGGAGAAGAAAAAGAGATGATAAGAAGAAAAAAAGAAAAAGAAAAATTTTTAACTGAGTCCCATTTGTCAGTCAAAATGATGTCACGTCTTATCCGTGTAGCATGCCACATTAGCGCCACGTAGATTCTGAAGGGACTGTGGCGATTTATGACCTAAATAACACACTAGCTATGATAAATTTTTGAGAATTTAGAAACTTAGATTATATACCTTTATAAATTTAAGGGCTGCTCGTGCACTTTACTCTTAAGAAAAATATATAGATGCCAATGCCACGCGATATGCATGCATGCATGTGTGCGTTTCAAGCTTTTAACTCTTGTCGTGTAGAGGCACGTAGCCACGAATTTGAAGACTTCATTTCGAAGTGTTGAATTGCATGGGTACATTTCAAGATCGACTTTGAAATTATGATAAAATTATATACTGTACACATGTCCTACTGCACGTACGCTTGAGTAAACATGCAACTAAAGACACTACAAATCGTACAAGTCTACGCTACTTGAACAGTTGAACATGATATGGACTCCTTCCGTCAAAAAAAAATCAACTTACATATCCTACTACTATGAATTTAAACAGAGATATATCCAGATTCGTAGTCCTATGATACGTCATATCTATTATTAGATTAGTTTTTTATAAGATGCAGGGAGTATATACAAATTGTTATTTTTCCTATTCCTATGTTAGGTTTTCTTTATATGTTTTTTATATTCATAAAAAGACACTGATTAATTGGACAGTTTTTATCACGATCTCAACTAATCGATATGGCTCTAAGATTATTAGTGCTGATCCAACCAGATAAAAATTAAGATCAGGGGCCAGCTAATTACTGTAGATACAAGCAAGCAAACCTTGAGTTACACATGGTGCTGTTCTCACACACACTATAGCTTCTTTTTCTTGTCGTAAGAACATGCTCACATGAAACTTTTGATGTAAGAAGAATTTTCTAAAGAAAAAAATTTATATAAACATTTTGAAACTTTATATTAAAGTAAAAATAAATTTGAAAGCACTTTCTTCCTGGAAACAAAAAACTTTCTACTCTAGATCTATATATAGAAAAAAAAACTTTATATGAAATACTTCTTCTCAAAACATAAAATACTTCGTTTGCATATGAAAAAAAATATTTATGAGAGAAGTAATACGTATAAAAAGTTGGCTCAACCTTGACCCGGTTAGGCTGGGCTGACCATAATTAGCAGGCCTAGAGCTATGCCATGCAATATGTCAACCGAATTGCTATAAAAGGTTTGGTAGCTTAGTTGATTCCAAATAATTGCATTTCATAAATATCTTATCTACACTTAAGTTAATTTTATTTTAAAGAGAGTAAGTAGTGATTTGAGTAGTAAATTTACTATTGTACGTCATCAACCCTTTACCTTTTTTTATTAAGGCCTTGTTTAGTTCCAAACTTTTTCTTCAAACTTTCAACTTTTCTATCACATCAAAACTTTCCTACATACATAAACTTCTAACTTTTCCATCACATCGTTTCAATTTTAACTAAATTTTTAATTTTGGCGTGAACTAAACACACCTTAAGTGAAAGAGAAGAGTGTGTTGGCCAAATTTCAAGGCCCATGTGCCAGATGAAAGTTACATGCAGAATCTTAGATGAGTGGATAACTCTTTTTCTTTTCTAAAACTCCATTTTAACACACAGACAACATAGTATAGTATATAGTGTGTAATTTATTTGAATCTTTATTACTACCATGTAATTTATTAATCAATAGTTTAGTACGGGTACGCTCGGTTGTTTGCTAACCCGGGCTATAGCTTAGCTGGGTAAGCCAAATCTTTCTCAATTGGTAGGCTTGACTCATCTCACTGTTTGATTAATTTGTTTCTTTAGAATAGGGGTCGAATATACTAGTTCCTACGAGGAGTGGTATTTAGAGTTGAACTCTGTCATAAACTCTTTCTTAAATAAAGAGATGTCATAATGTAACTATGATAACTACAAATGTAGGGTAGACACATAGGAAAAATGATGCCGGTGAGGCCATGGACTCATAGCGGCTAGGTGTTATGTTGGTTGGGGAGGAGCATACATAATCAGAGCTATGGAGATGTAGCCTTCGGCTAAACTTCATTAACAAATATAATATATTCTTATGTCGTTATCTGGTATGTATTGAGTGATCAATGACTAAAGCGAAAAAGAAGGTTAATCATCGTTCCGCTGTATCGACTAACTTTTATAATACTTTTGATGGCAAGATTTAGCAGCTAAATGTTTGGTTTGTGTAACAAATCTAGCTACAGGTCAACCCATATTATTTATCCTTAATCATGTGAAATCAAAGGTTAATCAATTTAACAGATCGAATTTAGGATGCAGAGAAGGATCCGTGCGTGATGAAGATGTATCGATTAAAGAAAAGAGAAGATTTGGAGGAGAAGCAAGGCCAATGGCTGTACAAATTCAGAAGCCGCTGCACTCGAATTTACCGCCGATGTTTTCATCCAGCAGTGGCAGTGTCTCCGCCATCGACGGCACAGACCTGTGCGCCGGCAAGGAGTGTTGGCACATTGTTAGCAACCCAATACCCCCAAATCTCAATAAACCAATAGCTAGTACAAGCAATGGAAGACAAGTTCCAAGACAGGAACAGGTTGCCGCCTCCGCTGCGTTGCAGGTTCAAAACGTTCGAAGTGCAGCACTAGCTGCTTTTCATGTTGCTCTCCCTTGGACTTGTTTTGGCCAGGACATGAGTGAGCTGCTAAACTGGGCCATTGTAAAGCCGACCCAAGTCCCTAACAATTCCTCTCCCTTAAAATTCAGCTTGTGCGCAAGTCGACAACGAAACTCTACTATTATAAAAATTAAAATTGAAGAAGTTTTTTTGGTATTTTGGTACGTCATCCGTGTTTGTATCACTTTTTAAGTTCATTTGCATTTAGAAATATATATCCGTATTTGAGTCGATTTTTAAGATCGTTCACTTTTGGTAATACAGAAGGAATCATATAAGAAATCTGTTTAAAAAACCGCATGCTAACTTGAGACGATCGAACTCCTAACTATAGCTCATGATTTTCTAAAACTACTAGAAAAAGTACCCATGCGTTGCAACGGGTGAAGTCTATTTTAATCTTATTATTATTATATGGTTTAGTTAAGATGAAATACACTGTGACAGTTCGCTTGGATATATATTTTTTTTAGAAAATCAGGAGCTACAGTTAGGAGTCTGATCGTCTCAAGTTAGCATGCGAATTTTTTTAAATATATTTCTTATATGATTCCTTCTGTATTAACAAAAGTGAACGATCTTAAAAACCGATTCAAATATGGATATGTATTTCTAAAAACAAATGAACTTAAAAACCAACTCATACACAGATGACGTACCAAAAATACCGGCAAAAATATCTTCAATTTTTATAATAATAGAGATATATATCCAAGCGAATTCCCACAGTAAATTTCATCTTAACTAAACCATATAACAATAATAAGATTAAAATAGATTTCACCCGTTGCAACGCACGGGCATTTTTTCTAGTAAGTATGAAAAGGCAAATTTTGCCACAGGACATCATGACTTTGCGGTTTTAGCTGTAGAACACTGTGCGAAGTGACTTTTGAGGAAACACACTCTTAAAATGTGGTTATTTGCTGGTGGACACCACACCCATTAAATTAATAATTTCCAGTTGAATAAGGGAGAGAAATTGTGTGAAAGTTCTAAAATGTCCTTGGGCCCACATGTTAAGTCTTCCTAGTTCCTTCTCTCTTCTCTCTGTCCCCTCCTTCCACACTGCCATGGCTGGCGCTTCTCCATCCTCCATGTCGACACAGAGGAGATGGCTTGTGCTGGGCTAGTGTCACACCCAGAAATTTAGCCCAAATTTCCAGAGTATTTTGTGTATTAAATCTCTGTCCAGGACCAGCCAAGGTACACAAGACGACAAGTAATAAACAGTTCCAGACGTAAATAAAGCGTAAATACTTATAGAAGAGGCACTTAGTCCTCACACCGAAAGGAAACGGCAGCAGCAGAAAAGGGCGATCCTAGCGGGGCTTCAGCTCCACTCCACAGGCAAAACTCAACTGGGGTCCGAGCCTTAGTCTTCTAACTCCATCTTCAGCTCAGAAGCACTACACTTCTGAAAAGAGGAAATAATATCAAGGCTGAGTAAAACCACCGTACTCAGCAAGCCAAACCAACGATGCATTCGTGCAAGGGGAGACAAAGGGAGGTTTGTGGCTATTTGCATAAAGGCGGTTGTAAAACATTTTATTAAGCAAAATAGTTAAACAATTGATTAATTAAAGTAATATTAAATCTCCACTGAACAACGCTACACCACGTTGAACTCACGGTGACTCTGGTCGTTCGAATAGTCTGGTCCGGTCCAGTTTAAAGATCGGCTATGCAATCAACCCGGGAAAAACCGATTGAACCGCCGGTTTTTAGCAAGAACCGGGAAGAAAATAGAAGAAAAATGTGGGCAGAGGGGTTCGAACCCCCAACCTTCCCTTTAGACTCGAGAAACCCCACCACTGAGCTATGCATGCTTGTGTGATTGGACTATGTATCTCATTTTATTTAAACCGTCTTGGGCCGGCGGTTCAACCGGTTGAACCAATCAAACCGTGAACCGAGGCTTCGACCGGTTCGATGTCCGGTCCGGTCCTAATAACTATCCCTTTGACCAAGGACACCACACCTCAGGTTTCACCCCCACTCCTCTATAGGCAGCAGACAGTCCCCTCTCGTGCCTAGGTAAATCCGGAAGCGACAAAAGCCGTCGCAGGGCCCATCCTGCTCCATCACGGCCACCCTTGCCTGGATGCGTCAACCAAAGGAAAGCTATACTTCAAGTCAGACAGTTACCCATTCCCGCTTGTAGCAAGCGCTGTAAGTCTTCCAGTGCATCCCGCGAACCGGTCCTTAATTGCCATGTGTGCGACAGGAACCTACGGTTGACGTGCACGGCGAGGGAGGCAAGCTGATCGGAGCCATATGCCGTTGAGGGAGAGAGCGCCATGATGCCGTCGGGTGGCACATGGGGTCGGGGAGCGGGGCAGAGAAGAGCTGGGCATGGGGGCACATGGTTTGAAAGACGTACAAGGAGGCGGCGACGGCGGTCATCTACGGCGGCAGCGGCCGTCTTCTGCTACAGCTGCATTCCGCGCAGCTGCGCCGTCCGCTGCTCCGCCATCGCAGCGGTCACCGCTCCTACACAGGCACGCCACCACGTCGCTAGCTGCTGCTCCACCTCCGCGCCGACCACCACTCCACCTTCATGCTGGCTGCCACTCCTGCATGAGTGCGCCACCGTGTCGCCCACCACCTTGCGCAGCACGCGCGCCGCCCTGCGCCGTGCAGCCGCTACAAGCCGTGCCGTTGAGGGAGAAAGAGAGGAAGAAGATAGGAAGAGAAAGAGAAGGAAGGGGCAATTTGGTCAAGGCATGTAAAAACATGGGGGCCCTCTCATATAGTCGACACGGAAATTATTAATTTAATAGGTGCGATGTCCCCTGGCAAATAACCATATTTTGAGAGTGTTTTCCCCCATAAGACAATTCACGTGGTGTGCTACAAACTAAAACCATAAAGTTACGATATCTTGCGGCAAAATTTGCCGTATGAAAAACTCAGCTCTACCTGGATCCAATGGCATGTGCAAAATTTTGACACGGTGTGTATTTGAATTGCTTTTCAGCAGTTTGAAATATTGCCCAAACTATCCTCTATGCTGCAAAAACTCAACTATAGACTCATGTCCACCATATCTAGGGATCTCAATCTGATATAATTAATGATCAAGAAACACCCACCATCTAAAGTAATCTCCCACATCTGATTTGTGTGTAAAAGCAAGAAATTGTTACCTCCTGTCATAAAAGTTGATTCATGGAATTAGAAGACCGAATACTCCCACCGTCCCATTTTAAGCGCAATAATAAGTTTTCGTGTCCAACTTTAATCGTTCATCTTATTTGAAGTTTTTATAATTAGTATTTTTATTGTTAGGAGATGATAAAACATGAATAGAACTTTATGCGTGACTTATGTTTTTAAACTATTCTAAAAAAATAAATAAGACGGATAATTAAAGTTGGACACGGAAAATCATGACTGCACTTAAAATGGGATAGAATTCGTGATACTAGCTGATGTGAAAACAACAATATGGAAGTCTCGAAAAAAATAAATTTGAAAATATACTGTTCATTCATTTTTTTTAGAAATACTCGAGATGCAAATTGTTTTGTAGAAATATACCGTCGATCTTGCATAACTGTTGCGAAAAATAATATAGAAATGACGTCACAGACGGTATCGCGCGGTGAAAATGCGAGACCACACGATCTTGCACTGAACAACAAGAGACCATGTGGTCTCACGGACCGTAAGAGCAAGTTTAATAGTATAGCCAACTACTAACTCCAATTTATCTATAGCCAATCTAATAGCTTATTCATACAATAATTACATACTACACTATTAATATCTGGTCCCACCTGTCATACACATTACATCTTAGAGTCCGTGCTACAGCTGGCTACAAATCTATAGCCCACTGCCATTCTCTCTTCTTATTTATCTATTTAAAATATGTTTACAGCTGGCTTATAGCTTGTTAGTGTACCTGCTTTAAGAGCGAGACCATTCGCTGTCTCGCTGATTGAAACAGCGACACCGGCATGGCAGTCCCGGCGATCTCACTTCAATTAGTGGTTAATTACCTAATTAAGTATTAACTAATAATAATTAGTAATTAATTATCCTAACTAGCGATTAAGGACAATTAATCACTAATTAACTGGCGTGGCAGTGTGTTATCACTGTTTCAATCAGCGAGAGTTCTTTGGTTCCGCGAGATGGCCTCGCACTTTCTCCACGCGATACTGTCCACGATTCACGGTCGTTATGCAATATCAACTGTATATTTCTATAAATAAATTTACATCCCAAATATTTTTAAAATAAAATTAAATGAATAGTATATTTTTAAATTTAATACGATTCGAAGCATCACATAATACGATTTCTTTTTTCTTTTGTACCGCAACTGCAAGAGTCTGTTACGATTCTCAAGGCAACGCGCCGCGCACGCCTCATTCCCCTCCTCCGGTAGAAGACGAGGAGCCGAGGCGGCAGCCAGCTCAGCAGTCTCCTCCGCCCTGCCGCCGCCGGCGACCATGCCCGGCGACCATGCCGGCGCCGGCGCCGCCGTCGGCGCAGCGAAGGCCATGCAGCTCAAGGTGCTGATGCCTTCTTCCTTCCACAAGATGGTAAGAAGGAGAAGCTAGCCACCATTAATTTTCGGCGCCATTTGCTCTTTCTTTCTTTTGCTTTCTTGGTCTCTCCCCGTACCGTTTGTGCTCGATCCGTACTCGCCTTCGATGTCTGCGCGCAGCGCATCTCCGACGAGCTCGCCGCGGACCTCCTGGGCGAGCGCGGCGACGGCGGCGGCGGCGGCGGTGGAGCGCCGCGGCGGGCGGCGCGCGTGGTGAGCCCGGTCGGCAAGGTCTGGGACGTCGAGGTCGGCCGGGACGACGACGGCGACGGCGGCGGCGCGTTCCTGGGGCGCGGGTGGGCGGAGTTCGCGGCGGCGCACGGCCTGGGCATGGGGTGGTTCGTGGTGGTCCGGCACGAGGGCGGTGGCGTGCTCACCGTCAAGCTGTTCGACACCACCTGCTGCCTCTAGGACTTCGGCGCTCGCCCTGCAGGTAATCCAAAGGATTATTTGCACGCAAAATTTAAGTTAATCATTTTGGTTTTTGTTCTCTTTGGAGAAATACGGGTAATCAGATTGAACTTGGAAATCCACTTGCAAAATGTTTTTTTGAAAAATAAAATATACAAGATGATCAATTAGACAATTACTATGACATAAATGGTCATCCGGCAGAAATGAATAGCGATAGAGTATCACTGTCGGTTCACTTTGTTTTCCGCTAAAATCAAAATGAACAGGCAGATATATCGTTTTTAACTGGCACTCTAGCAGTGATGTTGTTTCTATGGTAGTGTGACTAGATCATTTTGATAAAAAAAAATAATATGACTGGAACCGGCACCTATATACTACTACTTAAAGATGTTAGTTGTTGTAAATAATCGGCACCTATACTGCCAACCACGTGGTATGAAAGTTTATAATGGGCATCTATATTCATTATAGGTGCTGGTTTTGAAACTGGCACTGATAACCAATTTCATCAATGTCGTTTACTATGTGTTGGTTGGGGAAACGGGTTTTCCAACTGGCACCTATCAATCTTTCTGTAATAGTGTTATTACCATTGGTTTGTCGGTTAAACATTTTCTTTTACTAGTTGTGACAACCAGAAGCGGTAGAGCAAGAGACGCGTCAAATAAGCCGCAATTCTTGAGGGTACTTCTACCGGGTTTCATGGAAAAGATGGTGCGCAAACTCATATCCTATTCCTGCGGCCTTTGTTTTCCGCCTACTGGTTTACCTTTTACATTACTATAATTTTCAAAATACAATTTTTTTTACTGCTGATTTCTATTGCCAAGCATTTGAATAACTTGATGATAATAATACTATGAAAGTATTTTTGAAGTGAAATCTACAAATACGATTTCTAAATATTTAGAAAGTTACCGAAATTTAAAAATCAAAATTATCACTTCTGCCACTAGCTAGTTTAATTATCAAGCATCTGTTAGCCAACAAACTTTATAGTTTTACCATTCCTCTTTGCATTCCATCATGGTGCAATTCGCAATAGCACACAGGTCAAATTGTCAATGATACCTCACTTAGAACTAGACAGAGCTCTCTCCTTGAACAAGATTGATCCATGTTTATGAGAGAGGTAGTTGTGACTTTTCACGTCAATCTAACGGCTCAAACATAGGGAATGTTGTCCATTTCTGTAGCGAGAAACCTGATAATTTGATCTACCTAATTAGTGACATGAACAAAATAATCCCTCGATATACCTTTTCTGAATTTGCCTTTCTCTTGTAAATAGACCCTTCTTTATCAATATATAAGGCAATCTTCTTGTCTCTTTCTTTCAAAAAAACAAAAAGAATTTGCCTTTCTGAATATTCAGAGTTGAGATGTCAGATGTATATATCATGAAACTATGCATATTGCACTGACATATCTGTTCTAACAGAGGATCCCTGCTAAGTTTGTACAACATTACATTGCCGAAGAGCATCTGAACATCCACATGGCTAGCATTTTAAGCCCCCTCGGCAAATTCTGGCGCATTGAGCTCGAGAAGGATGAATTGGGCATGTTTTTCAAAGGAGGCTGGTTACAGTTTCTGTCATTCCATGGCATTTCCCCGGGTGATGTTGTGCTCTTGAGGCATGAAGGCAACTTAGTGTTCAAAATCAAAGTGTTTGGGATCAATGGATGCAAGAAAGATTTGAAGACCAAGGACGACATCACAATTCAGCAAAGTGAGCCATCAAATTTGAGTTGCTGACATTTGAATTAATCTGTCCTAAGAACATGCTACCGTTCGATTCTTTTCTGTCTTCTCTACATTTTGCAGGTGCTAGAAACCAACATGAAACACCTTCTTTTTCTACAAGGAAATGTAACAAGAACAGTAGATTTGGCGAAGATTGTAAAAACCAATTACAGGAAATACCTTGCAGTATAAAGGGTAGCAGAAAGAAAGGCAGAGAAACAAAACGGCCGAAAAAATCCAAATCTATCTACGAGATCGGACCACCTTCTTGGATAAAGAAGGAGATCAGCAACTATATGCTGGAAAATGGCAATATTGTAAGTGCTAGTATTAGTTCCTCCCACGCATGATATATATGACGAGCATATTATGAATAAGACAAAAAGTTTGTTTGAAGGAGTTTTAGATTCTAATAAGCAACTGGTGAGTATCTGGAGAAGCTGAGAAAACTAGCTTCTGTCTTTTTCTCAAAATCAGCATTTGATTCTAGTAGGAGCTGTAGCATGCATATAAGCTTCCCCAAATAGGCCCAAAGTAGCTCCACTAAGAATAAGATAAATGCATTTACACTTGCTATGGAGTATTCCTATTGTTCAAGTAGCTATACTCCCCATAGATATCACTCAAGCTCAGCCACCATTATACTAAAATTTTACACTCGCACAAGAATTATTTTCATTCATTACACTGCAAGAACATGTCATGCATCCTAGCTAGATCATGTATAGAATCAGTGTTGCGTTCACATTTCACGCCACTAAAGTGAAAAAAAAAAAGGTTCAGCTGATCAGACTAAACCAATCCACTGTACATCTACAGTCTTTGCCAGGGATCTTCTGCAAGTCGATCGGGCTCGTAGAAGAAACCACCATCACTCTAATGATCAACAGCTCGAGAGGAAGAAGCAGCAGCAGCAGCAGCAGGTCATGGGAGGTGGCTTGTAGTGTAAACAAGAACGGATACGGCTGCTGCAACCTGCTTCCATCCGGCTGGAAGAGGTTCTGCCAGGCGAACGGTCTCCTCGTAGGCGACGTCTGCACCTTCAGCGTCGTCGAGGCCACCCTGTGGCATGTTGCCATCGATCGAGTCGAGCGTAGCTGATGCTAGAGCTTCAATTAGCCGGATACTGCTATTCGTCTGGCTGATTGTGTCTCTGATATATGCCCTGGTTATTCTGGACATGCAGTTTTTGTTTTGTTTGTTTTTTTTTTTTTTGCAATTTGGGATGATGACAAAGATGATGGATTGATGGTGGTGGTGATGGCTTTGGGTTGTACACTTACAGCAGGTACAATAGCAGGCTATAAGCCAGCTGCAAACATATTTTAAGGAGATAAATAAGGTGAGAGAAGAGCAGCGAGCTACAGATTTGTAGCCAGCTGTAGCACGGACTCCAAAACGCAGTATATGTATGACAGGTGGGACTAGGTATTAATAGTATAGTACGTAATTATTGTATGAATGAGCTACTAGATTGGCTATGGATGAATTAGAGCTAGTAGTTGGCTATACTATTAAACTTGCTCTTAATTAAGTGGTCTAGTAGTGCTAACTGCCAAATGGTTTGTCCTTTTGATGCCGTTTCAAAAAATGGGGATAAAGGGTGTGCTTAGTTAGAGGCTTGAGGAAGATGATTGTCTTTCAGTCACCTTGTTGGTCGAATTTTGAAGTTTGAATTGTTTAAATTTCCCTCATAAGCACATGCTTCCCCTGTCTCAAAATGTAGCTATTTATAGTGTAACAACATGTCCTAATATGAAGCTATTTCTCCACCTACCCTCTCATCTCAACCAAAAACAACCATTCTTTCCACATATTTTCTTTTCTTCACCAATCACAACCCTCCTCCAATTATCTCTACCTACTTTATTAATATTCGTGCCTACCTAAAAAAACGTTTACATTATGGGATGGTTGAGGTAATTGGCTAAAAATGTTTGGATTGCTATGCATTGAAACCAATGTCTTAGAAATGCTTATATTGTGTAAAAATTTACTGCCTGTGAGGGTTGGCGGTACTATAATCATGGCCGTCAATCAAGCACGATCCAATGTGGTCTTATATAGGCGAGTTTGGACATAGTCTTAGATAGCATTGATCTTATATAGGCGACGCGAGGCGTGGCATGGCTGGCTGGCTGCTGCTGCTGCTCGCGATTACCCGTGTAACAAATGATAGAATCAATCCAGGCATGAAAGAGAAGACTGAAGTCTATCATCCAGGCATGTAAAGAAAAGAATAGAGTTTGTCAGCAAGCTGAAAAACTTCGAAGTGTTAGCGTTGTCATGTAGACTGCATGATGCCCCATATGTTGCCGCCGCGCACATCCCGCTGCCGTCTACAAGGCAGTGGATCGGAAGCAGCACAAGGGAGGGCAAGGGGGATGACAAGAAAGAAGAAGGGCCTACCCGGCTTCACCGTCGCTAGGAAGAAGCAGTCACCACCGTGCCAAAGCCATCCTCCATTGTCACATGTGTCGTCGGCAACATCGGATCTAAAGCAGCGAAGGAGGAGCGTCGGTGTCAGTCGGGTCAGATCTGTAGTAGGGAGAGGGGGCGGCGGCCGGGGGAGGAAGATGTCGTGCCGATTGGAGCTCTGATTCTTTCATCGGAGTTTGATCTCGTCGGTGCTGAGGTTGATCCACACCACTGAGCTTGGAGTCCGCCACCTGAGCTCGATTTTTCGTCACCAAAGCTCGCCGCATGAGCAGAGAGGCCACCAGCAGAACTGGGGAGGTAGAGGAGCAACGATGTGGATGTGACCAACAGCGGTGAGTAGAGACGAGGTGATGTACGGAGGCGGCGGGAAATGAATCAATGACGCAACTGCTTCTTGGCTCCTCCGCCGATGGGGAACAGGGAAGGCAAAGAGGAGAGAAAGAGAGGTAGATGAAAAGTGATTTACTGATGGGAGTGGGACCCATCAAACAAAAAAGTTTGCATTGTGAGATGAGTTGTTTCATCCTACTTAACAACAGGGATTGAAATTTCATTTCGAAATTTCTTAAATTTCGGACCCCTGGCAAATCTGTATCTTGGCCAAACTTTTCGTTTTTTCTAAAAAAAAATTCAATATTTCGAAATTTACGAAATTTTCGGATTTTCTCAAAAATTGTTTTTCAATATTTCGAAATTTACGAAATTTTCGGTTTTTCTCAACATACCTCCGACTTACGTGCTCCCACCGGACCAGTTCATAATAGGCTAGAGTAGTACCACTTTCCCCTATCCGGGTCCGCGACGCAACGCGACCGGAAAACAGAAGAAGCGCGTTGAAACCGGCGGCGCCCATGGCGGCCATGTCGTCGGCGGCGGACGGCCTCCTCGCGATGGCGGAGGAGGCGGAGCGGCGGCGCGACCTCGGAGCCGACGCGCGGTGCCATGGAGGCGGCGCTGGCCCCAGCCGACGCCCGCCTCCGACGCGTCAGCGCCGCCCGCGCCGCTCCTCCCGCTCGCCGAGGCCCGGGCGCGGCTGCGAGATCGCGGCCCTGCTGCTGAGCTCCCGCTCCGGGGGGCTCACCGACGCCAAGTCCCACCTAGAGCGCGCCCACCCCCTCCTCTCCCCGCACCCCCTCAGATCCGCCCCGGCTCAAGCTCCTCGCCCACTCCCTCCTCGCCACCGCCTACGGCGTCCTCGGCGCCGTCCCCTCGCAGAAGAACGTGCTCCGCCGCGGCCTGGGGCTCCTCGCCTCCGCCTCCGCGTCGGGCCTCCTCGCCCGTGGCCCGGCCCTCCTCGGGACCTGCAACTTCCAGACGCAGCTCGCCTCCGCGCTCGCCGTAGATGGGGACGCCGCCTCCGCGCTCTCCACGCTGTCCGCCGGCGCCTCCGCCGCCGCGGAGCTCGGGAGCCCCCAGCTCGAGCTCTTCTTCGCCGCCACCGGCCTCCACGTCCACCTCCTCTGCTGGGAGGACAACGCCGCCGTTGAGGCCGCCGTCACGCGCGCCTCCGGCCTCTGGGAAGCACTCCCCGCCGACCAGGTAGCCTTAGATTAGGGTTTCTTTTTTTCTTTAATCCTATAAATAGTATTTCTTCCCTTCCATGTTATAAGTCGCTTAAGTCAAACTTCTCCAAATTTGGCCAAGTTTATAGAAAAACATAGCAGTATTTGGAACACCAAATTAGTTGTATTAAATCTAATATTGAATACATTTTGATAGTATGATAGTTTTGTGTAGAAAATGTTGATATGTTTTTCTATAAATTTGGACAAACTTAAATAAGTTTAACTTAGAAAAAAAAGTCACAGCGACTTATTATATGTAGCAGAGGGAGTTGCTAAGATTGTAGTAATCTGTGTGGAGACTCTAATTGTAATGTATCTTTCTAAAAAATACAATTGAATTTAGCTTTTTGTTGAATTGGGTGCAGAAGGAGCAGTGGACTGGGTTGTTCTTCTACACAGAGCTGCTTCAGACCTTCTACCTGTTGAGGACATGTGACTACAAGGCTGCCTCGCAGCATGTGGAGCGGCTAGACACTGCCGCGAAGGACGAGATGCAGAAAGGCCAGCGGGTTCAGGAGCTTGCTGCTGAGCTCGGCACGGTGGAGAGAACGCTAGCGCAACCAGGGTTGAAGGAGAGGGAGAGGTCGGCGCTAACGCACAAGCAGAGGCAGCTCAAGTATCAGCTGCAAACATTGTGTGGCTATGACAAACTGAATGATGTGTTGGATTACGGGGATAAGTTGCTGTTGGCACCGCCGCCGATGCATGGGGAGTGGCTCCCACGGGCTGCGGTGTTTGTGCTGGTGGATCTCATGGTTGTCATGGTGAGCCGGCCAAAAGGAATATTTAAGGAGTGCGGAAAGAGAATTCATTCAGGACTGGAGCTCATTCGTGGTATGTGCTGCTGAATATCAACTAATTTGAATTATTGCTATAAAAATGGGGGCATCTTGCTAACTAGGCATCTCTAGACATTTCTAGTTTACAACCATGGCCACAAGATAGTAGCTGTTTCCTTCTTGTGCAGTTTAGGCAGGTCTGAACTTGATTCAACCATTTCATTGTCTATTCTCATGTATCCACGACATCCGAATGACTTGATGCTACAGTTTTTGTTCAACTATAGGAGATTGTGTGTAGAAAACTAAGGAAAATTCAACCAACACAAATAGTACGATTTATTGCTCCAATGAACTTTTTTTTACGTATAAAAGGCTTATCTGTCTCAGAGTACACGTGTCAACATTTTCTCATATGTGTCTACAATATAATTGTGATATGATATAAGTGTTGACTTTGGCATATGCTCAGAGACCCTTGCAAGTTGTGTGTATTGTTGACCAAGTTGTTGATTGAGCATTTTGAACTTAAGAGTCAAATTATCATGATATGGTAAGACCTACAACCAATCCATGAAGGATAATGTGCCTATGGCAAGCTCATGTAGCCGAACACTCCACTATCAGTTATCATTTTCAGCAAATCCCATCAATGTGTCCATGTCACTGCCCTTACCATGTTACTTGTTCGATTTGATATAAATGATGTAGCATTAGTTGAAAGAGATGAGGAGGGTGACAACGGGGCATTTAGTCTTTAATTAAATTTATCGTTTAGGTTTGTTTGATTCCTTTTGGGGCACCAAGCGAGGATGTGCTGACCAATTCTACATCATTGAGTTTCATTAAATAGGTCTCCCACTCAAAAGTGAAATTTGGATTTATTACATTCCAATCATATCCATGGCATAACACCTTGAGAAAATATAGCTGGCATGGTCTTATCTTCTGCAAGTGGTCAGCTGAATAGTTATCATCATAACCTTTGCATACCAGATTAACTCATCGCATACCTATCACTAGGAAATTTGGAAGGAAAGTTCTTCTAACACGATGTAGGTTGATGCCTTCATAGGCTAATGACTGCCTAAACACGCTCTTGCACCACACATTATTTTGGACCTTCAAAGCCTAGCTTTAGTTTTGTCCTTTAAATTCTCTAGGAACTTGTATATATATGGAACTTAGTGGTATTCACATTGTTTTCGACAGGGGAACTCTCGAAGCTTGGGATTGTGGATGGTGTGACAGGTGAGAAAATGGATTTCTTTTATTATTATATGGGGACTATTTACCATTTGTATGGTTCCATATGTATTTCTATATTCAAAGCTCACTCATGTTTTCTCTGATTGGTTATGTGCTTATGGTTCATTCATGATTCACCCACTGTACAGAACAGACAAGTCATGCTTCCATATGGCTTGTCTGATTATAGAATTTTATCAACTAGATTATGGATTTATGGTACCAATTGTGTTGAGTAAAAACATGTGTATGATGTATAGTTATTGCCTAGTACTTCTGACTGGTTTCACTTTTTAATCTGGCAATAGCATCCTATGGATGCCTTTAAATAGCCTTCATTTGTGACACTTGGTGACCTATAGGGTCAATGAGGCATAATTGCTAAAACTACACAAGGCAGCACCAATTTCTGCAAGTTAAAGATTGTGCCTACTATATGCATCATAATATTCTTCAAATATACCTATACTTGAAAGAGAATTCATGTAAAAGATTCTATTTGCCACTGTATTGAACATCTAGAAACAACTTTAGCTTCGGTTTAAATCGTTGCTTGTGTTCATGCGTGATATACCTTGTAGATTGTCTCAGTTGGTTGTAGTGAAATTAATTTTGTGTTCAATCTGAAAGCATTTTGTGGTCACTACATATGATCGAATCTCATGTGTTCATTAAATGCCTTTAGTCGTTTTCTTGTTCACTTTCCTTAACATGTTTCAGTGAGCTACTATAGGGTCATTTGGTTGAATCTTGTGGTTTGGCCTATTTATTTTAAATCGACCTGAAAAAGGTGGGATGTGGGAGTCGAACCCTGGTTGGCAGGGTGGGTTTTCGCCTCGGACTGTTGGCCACCACCCAGCTATCTGGTTTTTGTGCTTAGGAAGGAATACTCAATATATTTAAACTGTGTTTGAACAACAGTTTAACCAGCGGTTCACTGATCAGACCATTGGACCGGTGAACCAAGAGTCTGACCGGCTCGATAGATCCTAATATAGACCAATAAGGATAAAATTGCTATGGTACTTCCTCCTGTGGCCTTCGTCCTTTTTGATTGGTGTGTAAACACTGATGCAGAGGCAAATTTGGAACACTCTACAATATGGACAGCTGGCCTGTATTTGATGCTTTTACTCCAATTTTTGGAAAATAAAGTTGCTGTGGAACTCACGAGATCAGAATTCGTTGAAGCCCAAGAGGTAATTGCACAAACATGTTCATTTTTGACAAGTATCTGTTTTCATCTAGTACTATGTACTGTGGACAATATATGTCTCACATTACATTGGCCAGATATATGCTCTGTGCATATTACTGAGTTTGGTGTAGGCAAATGTGTCTAATTTTATAGATACAGTAATTATAATGGTACTATTCCCCAATAAAGAAACAGATGTATGGATCTTCCTTAGTTCCTTGTACACTTTATTCACTCAATTTACCCCCTTTTTTTGTAGGCTTTAGCTCAGATGATAAACTGGTTTACTCGTTTCCCAACAATTCTCCGAGGTTGTGAAAACACAATCGAAATGCTAAGGGGACAATATGCACACTCTGTCGGCTGCTTTGATGAGGCCGCTTTCCATTTCCTTGAAGCAGCAAGGGTATTTATCCCCCTCTGAGTATCACTTAACAGTTCTTGACCCCTATCATGTGCTTGTTAGTCGTATGCTATTAAACCAAAGTATTACTCTGTACTTTGCATCATGTTCTCTCCATCTTTCATGTGACCTAGGGACTTAGGTCAGTTTGCAGTTGCTGCATCATGTTGTGAAATCTCGTCAGTTAGGAGAATCTTTATTTTTCGATCCAAAAATATAATTGAATAAGTGCTTTTGAAAAGCCAATGCGATGTCAAATGGAACCTTAACACGAGGCATGGTGTCATTCATTATCTCTTGTCTGTAATGACAAGATCTATATTTCAATTGGTTACCATTTCTGTCATATGGTCTGCTCATGTTCTGTTGCAAGCTAAGCTGTCATACTCATATCTTAACTAAAATGCATGGAATGATTTCAGCTGACGGATAGCAGATCAATGCAATCTATGTGCCAAGTATATGCATCAGTATCCTACATTTGCATGGGTGATGCAGAATCAACTTCACAGGTGAAGTAGGATTTTATGTCAATCTTTCCTACCTGTCTTCTGCTGGCTAAAAAAACTAATTATTTCTTCACCTTTTCCATTCTTCAGGCACTAGAATTGGTTGGTCCTGCTTATAGAACCATGGACTCATTTGTTGGCGTGAGAGAGAAGACCTGTATAATTTTTGTTTATGGACTTTTACTTATGAGACAGCAGAATCCACAAGAAGCAAGGTAAGGAGTTATTATGATATAATAACTAGTGCACATGAGTATTGTTGTGTATTGCAGAATAGGTTTAAGGGACTCCATACTGTTACATTGTGTTCACATTGCATCTAATTATGTTCTGAGCACTACTAGCAAGTTTGCTAATAATCCATTGATATTTTGTGGATTCAGGCTTCGCCTTGCTGGTGGTTTGAGAATAGCACACCAACAGTTGGGTAATATCCAATTGGTTTCTCAGTATTTAACAATATTGGGTACATTAGCACTTCAATTACATGACTGTGGACAGGCCAGAGAGATCTTGAAGTCATCACTGACATTAGCTAAAACACTTTATGACATCCCAACCCAAATTTGGATCTTGTCAGTATTTACAGGTATGCCATAGTTACATGAAGTTCTATAAAATTAAATTGAAAATTCTTGTGGTAAAAATTGCATGTATATAGCTCCATTTGCTTCATTTAGCCTGTTCCGTTTCCTTACATAGGCTGTTTATATCACTTCATATGCATGCCATGTTCTGACTGCAAATTTGGTTGATCCTCATGTCAGAGTTATATCGAGAATTGAAAGAAAGGGAAAATGAAATGGAAAACTCTGAGTATGAAAGGAAGAAAGAAGATGATCTGCAAAGAAGGCTTTCGGAAGCCCATTCTAGTCCATTTCACCAGGAGCTGGTATGATACAACCAGAGCTTTTTTTAAGTTAATTAGGATATCTACCTGCTTCTTCTTGGCATGTTCGCTTTACATGGCTCCATTTCTTTCCTGCTGGTTTTATATCATGTTAGGATAGAGTCACTTTGGGATGGTTTCATACTTTCATAAGAGTGCCCAAACTAGATGTTTCAATCTTTTCCGGATCATATTATGGAATAATAATTATTTCTTGTGAAATGTCTAGGGAGAAAGTATCTTTTTGTAGGGCTAAACCAGGAGTATACTTTATCTAGTCTGCTATATCCTGACGTAAGGCACCGAGCAAAGAAATCATCGATCATAGCTAACTGCTACTATTCTAGAGAGTTTTGTTGCCCTACTTGTGGCCATTTATGGACATTCATTATTTACACGAGGGGTTTCCATTCGGATGTTTGGGTGGTTACCGATTCTCCATAATACATATGCAGCCTAGATTGACGCACGAAGCTCCCTTTCAGGTGGAGAAGACCAGAATCCAAGTTCAGCAGCTGCACAACTTCTCAAGGGAGCAGCAGGGGATGCCTGGCCCGACAACGGCGAAGGCCGACCTCGACATCCCCGAGTCGGTAGGGCTGTACGCTGCCCAGCCTTCTTCTGTCAAGAGGCTGATCGAACCGAGCTCGGTGCGACGCAGTAGCAGGAGGCGGCTATCCTGACAAAAATCCTGACCTGATGTCTGGGGTGCGTGCCCATCAAATGGGGGCAATGGAGCAGCAGCATGCTCACATACCAAATCTCTTGGGATATAGCAGCAATGGAAGAAGAGCTGTGACATTGTGTGAGGTTGTAGGTGCTGATTTATTCCATTGGTTGTTTATTTGTAGTTAATTATGCATTATAGATTGCTCTGTAAACAGATTAAGAGGTAGCAAAAGAACCGAGTTGGTATCGTATGGGTAGAAACTAGAAAGGAAAACAAAAGGTAGCTGCGGATTGAATTCTGTTGGTGATCATTTGTAGTTAAACAATCTAAAGATTGTGAAGTAAACGGAGGAAGTGAGAGGAAAAAGATGAGTCGGTTTCATTGTATGGCAGTTCAAGGAATCAAAGGATAGCTGCGGTCTGAATGGTAAAGTGATGTTAGCGAAAAATGAGATGCAACGCTTGTTGCATGCTTTTTTAAAAAAAATTATAATATTTTAAAAATAGACCCTTTAAAAAATATTTTTAATCTAAACTTTTTCGCCACGTTTAGGGTGCAGCTGCCAATGTCTACCGTCATGCCAGTTACATTGGCGGTAGGAGATTTACTATTATCATATTTTAGTAAGATAGCAATCTTAACATATATAAAATACAATGTCACACCAGACCATATCAAAATTTGGTATTTTTTTAAGGCTGAGTTCGGCATGTGGTACTGTGTAAAGTAATTTTCGTACATAATTTTTTTTTTAAAAAAAACATACTACCATTTAACTTTTTAAAAGCATGTGAGTGGAAAAAAAAAGAGAGATGAGTTGGGAAAGAAGAAATAATACAGTCTAAATATTCTTCACATAGCTCCACACAAAATAATTGGTAAAGCCCCTGACCAAGACATTTACCAAACTTATTATTATAAATTTAAAAATAGGTTTATTTGATATTTTCAAACAACTTCTATATATTTTTTAAAAAAAGTATCGTTTAGCCGTTTGGATTTATTTTGGTTTCAAACAGAATCACAAAAATTGTGTGCGGCACTCGTTCTCAAGTCCTTCTCAAACTGCCAAGTGCCAACGGCGTACTTCCGCCGCATGGAATCCGACGGCGAGGACACGCCGGCGGCGGCGGCGCGGGCGTGCGGCGCGGGCCACCGCGCGTCGCACTCGCTGCCGACCTCGGCGGGGGGCCGCGTCTGCCTCTCCTGCGCCGCGGCGCTGCTCTCCTCGGCCGCCTCCGCGCCGGCCCACCACGTCTCCCACGCGCTCGCCGCCCTCTCCCTGGCGCTCGCCGACCCGGCCTTCCTCGCCCCGCTCCGCGCCGCGCACCCGCGCCTCCTCGCCGCGCCCCTCGCCGAGGCGCTCGCCGGTGCCGCCTCCCGCCGCGACGCCGCGCTCGCCGCCCAGGCGTCCGACCTCGCCGCCGACCTCGCCGCCGCCGTGGGCTCCCCCGCCGCCTCCGACCTCGTCGCCCGCGTCGCCCGCGCCCTCTCCTCCGGCTCCCTCGTCAAGCACCTCCACACGGTACGTGCGCCCGCTGCCTCAACCACACTCGCTGTTGTCTCCGAGAAATCCGTGTGCTACTGTGTGTGAGGACATGGATGCCGGTGGTGAGGTCAGGTGCAGTGGAGGATGGAGTATTCGAGTGTCTGAACAATATTTCACTAGCATATGGCGTTGCAAACGATATTAATCTGGCATATATCTTCTGCTGAAGGAAACGGAGGAACATTGTGTTTGTTTTGCTCTGCAACTCTGTTATGGAAATGGTGCTTATAATGTCATTTCGAGGTAGCTTTTTGTAGATAATATTTCCAGTTTGTTCGGCTAATCTGAATATTTTATCAGTTATTTCCACATATTCGTTGCTTCCATTGATGATTTCTTTCTTAATGCCTTACACATGGCATGAGGGTTTTACTACTCCTAAGCTGGATCATATAATTTGTGCAGCGTCTGAGTAATGCCCTTTATATTTCCGTGGTGTCATAACAAGGCAGGAAATTTTCGTATATAAATATATTAGAAACATTTTATAGGGATGCTTAGCTTGACCTGTTATATGAGTGAAAACAATGAACTCTGATGTTAAGCATAATCAATTACCTAATCATTTTTTAGCAATATTACAGAATCATTTAATCTATTAATTTCAGTCTCAGGAATATATTTGAAAGCTGCCAGCATTTGCTGTTAGGTTTTAGGCCACAGTTGGATGACGGCTTGATTTCCCTTTTACCATAGTTATGAATTTACGATTCCTGACTATTGTATCTAATCAATTGGGCTGCAGTCCTTTTATATCATCGTTTGACTGCACAGACTGGACCCTTTAAGGTGTGAGGCTTGGTACTCTCTTACAACTGTGCTGAATTAGTGGCAACAACACTATTGTAGTTTTACTGAATATATTTGCTGCCGTAATTTCTGACCCGTACATTTATGTCAGTACAGCTACACTGTTTGGGGATCCTGCTAAATTCTACCAAAGATGCTGCAACTTACATTGGAGATAAACAATCTCTTTACTTAAACCTTGTCAACAATCTCCGGCTACCAAGGTTAATACCATTGCATATTGACACTTTCCTCGCCTTGCGAATAACCTTATCTGACAGCATCCTTAACTTGTTCTGGTACAGTGATGAAATTCGTGGAGAGATACTCTTTGTACTATACAAACTCTCACTGTTAAACGCCACCCCATGGGATGACATATGTGATAATGACAATGTGGATCTTTCAGCGATTGGAAGAAGCTTGCTTCAATTTTCTCTTGAAGTCCTACTCAAAACCCAAAATGATGATGTTCGCCTGAACTGTATTGGTTGGTATATTCTTATTTTTCTTCAATATAGATGTTGATTTCTAACAAAATAAATACATTACATTCGCATGCATGTTATGGACAGAGAAAAGGTACTCCCTCCGTCCCCTAATATAAGGGATTTTGATATTTTGCTTGCACTGTTTGACCATTCGTCTTATTCAAAAAATTTTGGAACCATTATTTTTTTTTGTGACTTACTTTATTATCCAAAGTGCTTTAAGCATAACTTTTCGTTTTTTATATTGCACAAATGTTTTGAATAAGACGAGTGGTCAAACAGTGCAAGCAAAATATCAAAATCCCTTATATTATGGGACGGAGGAAGTAGCACTATGATGCATTTCCATACGATGATGGTTTACTTACTGTACTGGCACATGCAATTTATAGCACCTCCCAGATAGGCAGGCAAAATTCTTGATGTTACTTTGCCGTTATTATGGTTCTTGAGAGGCTGGATATAACTTCAATTATTAGTTGTTCTTATCATACGATTCATATCACTATTCATTCATTAAAGTTATAGAAAATTCAGCACTACAATTTTTTTCTGTACCATATCCACACATGGTGTTCATGTGAGCATTTAAATATTAAATACTTCCTCCGTTTCACAATGTAAGACTTTCTAGCATTGCCCACATTCATTTAGATGTTAATGAATCTAGACATATATTAACATCTATATGTATGTGGTCAATGCTAGAAAGATTTACATTGTGAAACGGATGGAGTATATGATTAGTTAACGATTGAAAAGAAGTTTAACTGAATGTCTCTCACGGTTTGAGGAACTTGTGTTCTTAGAGAGTACGAAAAGATAACCTGCTGAAGTGAAGTTATATAAATCCACCAATTTCTGCAGTTGCATGTGTATGAATTTTTTTTGAGAGTTTTAAAATTGAAATGGATGCTTATGACAGTTCTGGGCTTCCAAAAATCTTAAGTATTCATCGAGGAAGTGAACCATTTTGGAAGATTGATTAAGTACCTTAAAATTTCTTCACTGAATTTTTCATCCCTCTCTTATAGTGGTAATTCATATACATTTAATACATTCATTTAATTTGTAGTAATGAGTTTACATTTTCTTTTTATTATAGTTATGGAATAGCTCATCAATGTTCAAAATTGAAATTCACTAACTTGTTCTATACTCATTAGAATGCATAATGATTCTTTTGTTGTTCTTCCGCAGCATTGCTCCTTACTTTAGCAAAGAAGGGGGCCTTTGACATTTTACTGCTTAGTGATCCGAGTTTAATTAATTCTGCTGAAGCAGAAGATAATGTGCCACTAAATGATTCTCTCGTAATTCTGTTTGCTGAAGCTGTCAAAGGATCTCTGCTATCTACTAATATAGAAGTGCAAACAGGGACATTGGAATTGATCTTCCATTTCCTGTCATCTGATGCAAATATATTTGTTCTGAAAACATTGATAGATCAGAATGTTGCTGATTATGTATTTGAGGTTCTCAGGTTATCAGGTATGAGGAACCATCTTCTGCAGTCATCAAATGCCTCACAGTTTCTAACCAAGCTGTTATATGTTTCAGGAAATAATGATCCACTGGTCATTTCCTCTATTAAAGTACTATCCATTTTAGCCAATTCAGAGGAGAGATTCAAGGAAAAGCTTGCCATTGCAGTTTCTACTTTACTTCCTGTTCTTCACTATGTTTCAGAGATACCATTTCACCCAGTCCAATCTCAAGTTTTACGACTTGTTTGTATTAGCATAATTAATTGTTCTGGCATTTTGTCGCTGTCCCAAGAAGAACAGATAGCCTGTACTTTGTCAGCAATTTTGAGAAGACATGGAAATGGTGAACTTGGCATGAGTTCTGAAACCTTTGCTCTGGTTTGCTCAATGCTTGTAGAGATTCTGAAGTTACCATCTGCTGATGACATCCAAAAACTGCCATCATTCATTGTAGAAGCATCAAAACATGCAATCTCTTTGACATTCTCTCACGAGTATGATTGTTTGTTCCTCATACCACATTCCCTCCTCCTTCTAAAAGAAGCACTTATCTTCTGCCTTGAAGGGAATAAAGATCAGATTCTTCGCAAGAAGTCTCTTGAGGATAGCATCATTGAAACCTGTGAAACATATTTACTTCCTTGGCTTGAAAGTGCTATTGTTGATGGTAATGATGAAGAAACATTGTCCGGCATCCTTCAGATTTTCCAAATTATTTTATCAAGGGCATCTGATAACAAATCATTTAAGTTTGCTGAGATGCTTGCCTCATCATCGTGGTTTAGCTTGTCATTTGGATTCATGGGCTTATTTCCTACTGACCATGTAAAATCAGCAGTATATTTGGTCATCAGTTCAATTGTTGACAAAGTTTTGGGCATCAGTTATGGGGAAACAATTAGAGATGCATGCATTTATCTTCCACCTGATCCTGCAGAGCTGTTGTATTTACTTGGGCAATGTAGCTCAGAAGACTTTAACTTGGCATCATGCCAATGTGCAATTCTTGTTATATTATATGTTTGTTCATTCTACAATGAAAGGTACTGATCTGGTGCATACCTGGTACATTCCTTTTGCTTACCTTGTAAAGAACTGTACATACATTCTCTAATATGATAATTGTTTACTAATCAGGCTGGCTGCTGACAATCAAATTCTGGCTTCAGTCGAGCAATACATTCTTCTCAATGGTGCGAAGTTCCCCCATGAAATCCCAGGCTCTCTGATGCTTACTCTTCTGGTTCATCTTTATGCCTTTGTCAGAGGCATTTCATTTAGATTTGGCATTCCACATAGTCCAGAAGCTGAGAAAACACTGTTCCATGCAATGACACACAAGGAGTGGGACTTGCTTCTGATCCGAGTCCATCTGATAGCGCTAAAATGGCTCTTCCAGAATGAAGAACTTATGGAACCACTCTCCTTTCATTTGCTGAATTTCTGTAAATTTTTTTGTGAGGACAGAACTGTCATGCTTTCAAGCAGCACTCAATTGGTGGACATACAATTGATTGCAGAACTGGTATATTCTGGGGAAACCTGCATCTCGTCTTTGCTGGTATCCTTATTGAGTCAGATGATAAAGGAGAGTGCAGAAGATGAGGTCCTATCAGTAGTTAATGTTATTACTGAAATTCTAGTGTCCTTTCCTTGTACTTCTGATCAGTTCGTGTCATGTGGTATTGTTGATGCACTTGGTAGCATATACCTCTCCCTGTGCTCATCAAGGATCAAATCAGTTTGTTCCTTATTGATATTCAACATTTTACATTCAGCAAGTGCAATGACATTCACCTGTGATGATGATGCATGGCTTGCTCTTACCATGAAGGTACTCATGTTCATGTATGATATGAGTTCAATGATACACTGCCTGTTGGAGCTTATTTCATCCGTAGATATGCTTTGTTTCTGCTGGTTACCAACAGCTTTATAGAGAGTGACTATCCTGTAAAATCATTTCAGACTACAATCTTCCATTCTTCTTCCCATTGTTCTGAAAGGAGATTTCTTGTCTTTTGTTTTATAAACATAAGTTAGGAGTTAGTACTACCAGTACCAAGTCATAGGGGTTCCACAAAATAAAACCTTAGGCAAATGCTGATATATATATAAAAAAAGAAATGCAGAAGAGTAATTAGAGTAGCCATTTTCCTTTGCCCCTATTGGATCAAGCCTAGTGGCTTGCAGTTGCTTCCTTTGTCCTTCCAGTTCATTTTCATGAAAATGGGTGCAATTTTAATTGGTACCGCATTTTCTTTTGTTCCCTAATTAGAATTTAGAATTTTTCTAATTTACTAACCACTTTCTGTGCAGCTATTGGATTGTTTCAATTCTAGTCTTGCTTATACATCAAGTGAGCAAGAATGGAAGATATTAATTGGGATATTGTGCCTTATTTTAAACCATTCAGCAAACAAGGTGCTTATTGAGCCTGCAAAAGCCATAATCTTGAATAATTGTTTGGCTTTGTTGATGGATGGTATAGTTCAAGAAGCTTGTGCAAAGGGCCCATCTTTATTTCAACACAATCAGGAGACAACCTTTGGGGAATTATTGATTCTTATGCTTTTATTGATATTTTTCTCTGTACGAAGGTATGCAGCTGTATTGCATGCTTCATTTAATTGCTTGTGTATGAACTAATGATAGTCTCTTTTCTTTTCCAGCCTGCAAGCGATCTTAGAGGCAAGCATTGACTGGCAGGAATTCCTGCAATATTCAGATGACACTGAGTCTTCCTCTGTTCTTGGCATTCCGTGCCATGATTTGTGTCGTCTCATGCACTTTGGCCCTTCTCCCGTAAAGCTTATTGCTTCACAATGCCTGTTGGAATTGCTTAACAGAATTTCAGATCAGAGGAGCTGTCTTAATGCTGAGTTAAGATGCTCTGCAAAGTATCTGAAGTCCATGATTGCAGTGACAGAGGGAATGGTCTTCGATCAAGATAGTAGAGTTGCTGAAAATTGTGGTGCCTGTCTCACGGTGATTTTAGGTTGGGAGAGATTTGGAAGCAGAGAGAAGGCGGTGATCAGAGAATCTAAATGGTCTAGGTTAATATTGGAGGAATTTGCAGTTGCCTTGACTGCTCCTGGTTTGACATCCAAATCCTTCAGTAATCAGCAGAAGATTGCAGCAAATATAGCTCTTTCATTGCTCCAACTGAGCCAAGTACCAGATTGGTTGACATCGTTGTTCAGTGATTCTTTGATATCTGGTATAGTTGCTAATCTTTCTGCTAGGAATGTTACCGCGGAAATTGTCACTCTCTTCAGTGAACTTATGGCCAAAAACTATCTCAATCAAGAACACATTGCTGGTCTACACAACTTGTTCCAGGTTCGTACTGCTGTCCTTTATATATACAAATCAGAGTAATGCGTACATGTAGTTTTGCAAGACGCCATATATAAACAATTCTTGATATCTGATTGCAATTTATCCCATTAGTTGTTCTGTGGTCTACACCCTCCAGTCTCAGGGGTTTCTCCTTAGTTCATATGATATAATTGGAAGCAAGCAAAGTTTCTTTTTTTTTCCCCTCTCTCTTGGATATGGGGTGGTTCCCTCATTCCTCGTACTTCAAATTTAATCGCAAGAAAATGCTTCCTGTTGTGTTTAAAAAAGAACTAAAAAAATAGCTGCATTTCTTGCTTAGTACGAGAGGACCGAGTAACATCCACATCTCTCTTCTTAAAAAATATGGAAATGGTTTACATCTCGACCCTCTGTCATCACGCAGAGCCAATTATCATCACATGCTCCCTGAAGTGACGATTTCCGCGTATCCTGATGCAGGTCTGCAGGAGACAGGCCTATGAGGGAGGCGGCGGCTCGAAGGCGCAGCCCTCGGAGCAGAAGGCTGCGGCGGCGAGATGCGCCGACGACGTGCGTGCTTTGCTCTTCGGCATGATGCTGGAGCAGCGGGCGTGCTCTCGCGCCACCGTTGAGATGGAGCAGCAGAGACTTCTCCGTGAGATCGACTCTTTCTTCTTCCAGGAGTCGAGCCTGCGAGAACAGAACAGCGTGAAGTAACCCAAGTCTCAAGGTCTTAAGGCCAGCCCCCGGCCAACAAACCAGGCACCTCGTACAGCTCCCCCCTAATCCGTATAGTTTTTTTTTTTTTTGACATTCCTAATCTGTATAGATGCTTATAAGTAATTAGGGATACTCACATCTTCCTTGTTGATAGTGTTTAAAGGGCGCAAAAATTAATTTGCCCCTCAATCATGAAAATTGTTGAAGCTCCATGCCAAAATTGGTCTGCAAAAGCAACCCTTAAACGAAATGGAATACACCAATCTTTCGAAAAAAATATGTACAGTTGATCCTTGAAAAATAGTTCGTGCTCATTACACTTTGTTCCTCTGTCGATTTTTTATTTTTTGAAAACTCATGCCTTTGTTCAGGATGACTTTTTAAATTCAGAGCTACTCTCTCCGTCCTATAATATAAGGAATTTTGGAGGGATGTGATACCAAAATCCCTTATATTATACGGTGGAGGGAGTATTGAAGTTGGCTTGACCAAATCTTTAAATTCAATAACATATCGTGAAAAATAGCTTTTCAATCTAGGAAAGATTATAAATGGACAAAAATTCCAGACAACGGGCTGGCCTACCGGCCAATCGCAGCATGAGCCCCACATGTCATCCTCTTTCTCCCTCCCTTCTTCCTTCCTCTCTCCCCCTTATCTCAATCTACTCCCTCTTCCCCCTTCCTTCCCTGAACGACTGGCCCTCTTGTCCCTCTTCTCCACAACAATAGCGAGGGCATGACGATGATGGGGAGTGGTGGCGCCGAGCACTCCCCTTCTCTCCGACCTAGGAGGTGCTCATCCAATCGGCTCCTCTTCAACCCAGGCGCGTCGGCCACGAGCTCCATACTAGGGTGATGACGAGATGTTGGTTGGAGGAAGAGTCATGGAAGGAGTCATCGTCACCTCCCAACCTTCACCAATTGGCGGCTCGATTGAAGCCGTTGTCTACGTTGGCATCTCCCAGCTGATGTCGCCATCATTATATTGATATGTGCTACAGTCGTTGCCCTTCCTGTTGGCTTTGCCTCCCACATGCCTACCATGCCGCCAAATCCAGTGGAGACAGCCCCGGGCCAGTGGAGGGGTGTAGTGGTAGAGATGGAGCTCGAGGCAGTGGCGACATGCGGAGAGGCCAAGTCCAGTAGCGAGCTCACAAAGGTAGATCTCAGCAGAGCAGGAGACTCAGTGAGCTTCTCCTGCCCTTCGCCGCCCTCCACTTCGGGCTCCCTCACTGCTCTCAAGCGCCTCACCGCTTTCCTCAATCCTCTCCAAGCTCGGCCGGCGACGCTAGGTCTTGGAGAAGGCACGTCAGCAAAGGAGCTCGAGGGAGTTGGCAGTGGCGGCTTCTCCTCGACTATAGGGCCGATAGAGCCGGTCACCATTGATTATGATGTCATCCTCAAGGAGAGCTTCGTGGTGATCATGGACATCCTCCGCTTGTGCTACCTAGCTCCCTCAAGCTTCTTCGTTGTCGTCACCCTACTGATGTCAGTCACCATCCTGCTGCGTCACCCTACTGCTATCAACCATCACCTTGCTGCGTTGAAAAGAAGATAGGGAGAGAGAGAGAGAGAGTGGGTGTTGAGCTGGAAGAAGAGAGAGGGGATGACATATGGGCCCCACTTTTTTAATGTTTTTTATGACTAGGATGCCACATGGACGCCACATCAGTGAAATTCGCTCTCAAAATAGCTGAGGGAGTCATTTTACACGGTTTGATAATTAAAGGAGTCGTTATACCCGGTTTTATCGTTGACGGATATGAATTAAATCCGACCACTAGTTTAGGGAGTTTATTAGTGTTACAAATAAAACATACCTCCTATAATTGGATATACTTGGATTCGTAACATACGGAAATACCGCATACCAATATTATACGGAAAGATATATCAAATATTCAAATATAGGAATAAAACGAGTTAGAAATGTTTCCTCTGCTTGTGTCCCGTTAGGTTTCTTCGAGTAATCCGTATAGTGAATACCAGAAATATTTCATATAAACTGGAGTAGAGCTGTTACTCATCCTGAGAGCCCAAACCAGTATAAAAATCTTTATCCCTCAATAATGTTTTTAAGGTGATCAAACCAGCCTGGAGTAATGGAGCTAACTAGTGATTAGACGACAAAATATCGAACGGTGTTTCACCTTTTACATGTTTTCTCGCTAAGTAAAAGAAACTTTCAGTTGTTTCATCATTTGATAAAAAAATGTTACGGAGCTAACTAGGGATTGGACGATAAAATATTGGACGGTGATTCACCTTTTAGATGTTTTCTCATTACGGAGCTAACTAGGGATTGGACGATAAAATATTGGACTGTGATTCACATGTTAGATGTTTTCTCGCCCAGTAAAAGAAATGTCTTAACTGTGTCATCATTTGATTAAAAAAATATTTCATTGCTTGATAAATAATATTTGAATCAAATGCAACATTGAAGAAAAACTAATAAAAAAAAGATATTTCGAGACGCGAGCCCGGCTCTGGGGCCCCATGGCCCCACTCGTCAGTACTTCTCTCCGTCCGTTCTCCTCCCTACTTCTCTCTCCCCCTCCCGCCTCTTCGATTTTTTTCTCCCAAAAAAGAGCGGTAAAAAAAGGAAAGAAAAGAGAAAAAAAATAAATATGGGCACCGAACCCTCCCAAACCCCTACCCCCCCGCCGCCGCCGCCGCCGGCGAGCCCTCGCCGGCGCGCGCCGCAGCCGGCCACCATCCTCAGCCCTTCCTTCTCGCGGAACCCTCTACGCGCCACCGCCGCCTCCGCCTCCGCCTCCGCCGGCCCCGTCCCCTCCCCCTCCTCCTCCTCCGACTGCGAGGAGCACCCCTGCGTACGCTCCCTCTCCCGCTCTTACTTTCTCGCTCGTTGGTGGTGATGGCATATTGGATTGAATGCATGAGATGCACTGACGCTGTTTCAGGTGGAGCTGTTCGATTGGTGGCTGAAGAGGGTGGAGGGGGACGACCGGAAGGTCCGCATCGCCGGCCACACGGAAAGGTGAGGCGTTTCTTCTTCCAACGACTCATCAAAATATGATGCATCTTTTCTTTTCTGGGTTGATGCCTCCCCCATCGATCCGCTTGGAGTTAGCATTGTGTGCATGTGTGTGTTTTTGTCTCTGTGGGAATCTTTTGTGGTTTTCTTTAGAGGAAAAAAAAAGAGATTCTAATCATTTGGTAGAAAGACCAACCAATGGGGCTAAGCGATTGGGAGCATTTTGGTTCATTTTAGTTTTTTCTTTTTGGACATGTTTCTACTTTCAAGTTTCAAGTCTGTTTGGGTAGATGAAGTGGCATGAAGAATTGGTCCTATGAGCTGGATTGTTTTTTGGGTGTTTGTTGAAGAAGAGATCATGGGCGCAGGCTAGATGTACAAATTTGCAATCTTCATATAACAGGAGTTGTAGAACTGAGAGTCTGGAGAAATGTAATATAAAGTTGATCTGCTGCCCATAATTACAGTACTCAAGCCATGATAAGCATGCGTAGAAACATTCCCTCCCTGACCACAACCTCCTTGCTAGGGGTGTGCCCAGATGATTCTTTGATAATCCAACCCAAAATGTTCTTCAACTTGTGCCTTACAGTGTTATTCTTGCATTTAGTTGTATCTTGGAGACCATGAAACTGTAGTTGGGCTAGGTAGGTTCCTCATTGTCTTGAAACAGATTGAGCATCATTGTTTAGCCATGATCCTCATATTTTGGAAGCATCAATAATGTTTCTCAATTTATTTTCTTGTTTTAGGTGCAAATTTCTGGTATTTTAGTGAAGTTATTGGTTGCTCATGTTTAACAGGAACCACAAACCCCATCTATTCACTTCTGCACCCATTGTAAAACGGCATAAGGCTTGTATGCTTGAAGCTGAAGACAGCATCATAGTGTTAATTGATGGCCCGTTGGACCTTTCGCAAATGGAAAATAATGGATATTCGCTTGAGGTATGCTCATTTTTTTTGTGCCTTTTGTCTTATGGACCACTGGAACGGACAATGTCAGGAACTTCTCAACCAAAGGCCTGTTTCTGATTTGTTCGTGTAGCTATCCTACTGTGTTACTATTTGATGATAGACAACACCAATACCGTTTGAAATTCAAGCATTACCTATATTAACTTTGGCATTTTTTGCCTATTTGATAACTTCTGTTCAAATTCAGGTCCAAAAAGCTTCTACTTCTGTAACTGCACTTATACATGACATGGTCTTTAATATTGAAATAATGTATGCAGGTCTGCGAAAAATTCATGACTGGATTTCCATGCTTGTGGGAGAGTTACAACTTAGGATCTCAACAGAGCTGTTCTTACACTAGCATTTCACGAGATGGCCGAACTAAATTTTATTTGGAGCGATTCCAGATAGGAAACTTTATTGATAAAGTTGGATCTTCTTTCCTAGCGAACCTTCTTAACAACTCAAGAAGTTCCTCAGGTAATGATGCTGATTCCTTTGAAAAAGGTTCCTATTTGTCAAACAAAAAACCAAGATTTGAGGAATACACCTGCGACCTTGACATTTCAGCAAAGGAAAAGACTACTGCTTTTAACGAAGGCAGTACAGGATCTCTAGCTGTATGTAACAAGGTGGGTAATCAGCAGATAGACTTGGTCGTGAAGAGCTTTTCTAAAGAAAGGGGTCATGGCAATATAGATCTTAGTGCATCTTTGACTTCTATAGAAGAAACTACTAGGGACAAAACTTCTGAAGATGCAGGGAATCAGAATGAATTTATCCATTCAGATGCAGAATATCAGGAGGCTGGCAGCCATCTTGTCAACTCTGATTCAATTTACGGTATGTCCACTGAGTCAGGGAATCAGAATGAATTTATCCATGCAGATGCAGAACATCAGGAGGTTGGCAGCCATGTTGTCAACTCCGATTCAAATTTCGATATGTCCACTGATAATATGATCTGTGAGATGGGAGATGGAAGTGCTAATGCTGGCAGTGCAGTGAGTCAGGGATCTAAAGAGGTTTTAGCCACCGTGCTACCTGAAAGGGCTAATCTCTCCCCAGACAGTTGTTTGGACAATATTCTACCCATAAGTACATGTAATAGCAATAATTGCTTGGAAAATCAAGGTTTCCCGGAAATAGCTCAGCACATGACATTGAACGAGGAGGTAGTACCAAATGAAGACATTTCAACTTCAGTTCATTCAGATGTGGAGTCCCTGGGAAATGTGAGTTTTAACAAACCATTAGTTAGTTTAATCAATGTTCAAACCTCATTTAGCTACTCGAAGTTTTTTCTTCAGGAATTCTTGCTTATGTAGTTCATGTGCTGATAATGCCCCTATTAGTTTTCCATTCTTTGGTCATTTGGTGACATTGGAATAGTTTAAACAAACTTCTTGTACCTATGCACTAAGGTTATGTCACAGATATTTTAACAAGCATAACAATGCTATTGACTCGATGCTACATATAACCTGAAACACTTGATATATAAATAAATAATGAACATAATGTAGCATCTGTGTGCAAGCAGAGAAACATCATACTTCCTTCTTATATTCATGATGCTGAATTCATATTTAGCATGTTTCTACCATTGATTTTAGTTGTGCTCCTCATGATGCACATTTATAATAGGCTTGATAACTTTTACCTGGAAAAGCAGCCTGTAGGCCCAGCAGAGGTGCAGAGATCAGAGTGTGACATATTACAGGGTGCTCCTAGATCACCTAAGCAGAATGTAGGCTCAGCACAGGAGCAGAGACCTGAGCAGTCCATGTCACAAGGTGCTGCTAGATCGCCAATGATCAGAACTCCAATTCCAGATGTAAGTATTACTTCACATCCTTTTTACTGTTTAAAATTTTAGAAATTTAGTGCTTGTAATCAGTTAAAGTATTATTGAAGGCAAAAATAAAACGAAAAATGGTAATGGCAAATCTCAGTCATTAGGACTAAATTAAGCACGAACCTACCAAGATTGACACATTATAACAGTTTTCGAACTTAGTAGCAGCCTAGGTGGGCAGCTCCTCTGGCAGCAGGATCTCCACATATTCTCCAGCAGTGACGTCATCAATGATAGCACATTGCTGGTTGACATTTTTTTTTCTATTGTGGATGTAAATCTTATTCACTACTAGATTAAGGCTACTTTAGTAGCTCAAAAACTATACTTTCTTATAAATATCATGCTGTCCTTTTGGAAGATAGTTATGTTAAACAAACTTCTTGTACTTATGCAAAAAGTTTATGTCACAAAGATATTTTAACAAGCATAACAACTGCTATTGAGTATTGACTCAATGTTACATATAACCTGAAACACTATTAGGGGTGGAAAAAAAGCTTGGGCTCGTGAGCTTGGCTCGGGCTTGGCTTGAGTTTGGTTGGCTAGGCTCGGCTCGTAAGTCAAACGAGCCAAGCCCAAGCCGCCTTTTCAGCTCGTTGCTGAAATGAGCCGAACCGAGCTAGCTTGCGAGCCGCTTGTTTTGGCTCGCGAGCCTTGGGCATCGTATGTTTATATCGATTATTTTACTTTATATGGCGTTATTATTTGTCAACTTGAAATTTATCATTAAGATTTTGAAGAATTGAATATATAAACTTATTTAAATTTTACATGTTAATGATTTGTTTTTACTTTTTTTAATATTTACAAAATATATATGAAGAGTCGTTTCAATAGAAAGGCTTGCAAGCCAGCTCGAGCTGGCTCGAGCAAGAAATGAGCTGAGCCGAGCTCAAGTTTTAACTTATTTCCCTAACCAAGCCGAGCCAAGCCAAATTTAGTTTGTGACGAGCTCAGCTCGGCTCGTTTCCACCCCTAAACACTATGATATATTCCTGAAACACTCAAATGCTACATATAACCTGAAACACTATGATATATAAATTAATAATCAACATAATGTAGCATCTTTGTGCAAGCAAAGAGGCATTATATATTCCTTTGATATTCATGATGCCAAATTCATATTTAGCATGTTTCTGCTAGTGATATTAATTGTGCTCATTATACACATATATAATAGACAACTTTTACCTAATGTGTTGCAGGGTGCTCCTAGCTTGCGTAATCAGCATTTAGGCTCAGCACAGGAGCAGAGATCTGAGCATTTCATGTTAAAGGGCGCTACTAGATCGCCAATGATCAGAACTCCAATTCCATATGTAAGTATGAAAGTTACTACTTACTTCACATCCTTTTTATTGTCTAAAAGTTGAAAGTTTAGTACCTGTAGTCAGTTAAAGTGTTACTGAAGGCAAAAAAAAGAAACTGGTGATGGCAAATCTCAGTCATTAGGACTAAGTTAAGCATGAACCAATCAAGATTGACACACAATAACAAACTTCGAACGTAGTAGCAGCCTTGGTGGGCACCTCTTCTAGCAATAGCCTCCAGACCCTCTGAACATCCTTAACAGTGATGTCATCAGTGATAACAAATTGCTGTTTGACATGTTTTTTCTATTGTGGAAGTAAATCTTATACACTATTAGATAGAGACTACTTTAGTAGCTCAACAACTATACTTTCACCATGCTGTCCTTCTGGGAGATAGTTATGTTGAACTGTTGGGTTCGAACATTTGTGCTCTATATTCAATTAGGGTTGCCATTTCTTTCTGCCCATCTTCTGCACCTACATGGTACTTATCTGGCTACATGTACTATGTGAATCAGTGTTCACATCAGTATGATATATATTTTTTATATATAGTTTTCCTTATTGCAATTCTTTTGGAACATCTCAGGGACATTATTCTCCTCTTACCCGTGGCAAGGCCAAGTCATCATCAGTTTCAACACCTGAATCTCTCAAACTGAGAAGAACTAGATCAGGTACAATATATTTTGCTGCTGGACTCTGTTGCTTGAATTATTTATTGACTGCAACTAAATCTACGGCAATTTGTTTTGCAGGTCGCGTGGTAGTTCCCACATTGGATCCTGGATGCCAAAGGATCGTCTATGACAGAGTTAGTCAAGAAACCTGAAACCTCTTTGCCGTGTGATGAGATCTTGTCCATAATTAGCTTACATGTGATTGCTAAAATTATTTAGCGTAGGTTCAGGGAATATGAGAAAAGCAGCATCCAACCTACTATTTGTGATTTGGTGCAGTGCATTTATTCAAGCCTTTTGCTCAGTGTCTCACTAAATGCATTCCTTTTGTAGGACGGTTTGGTTTCAGGTGTGGCTGGCTTAGAGTTTGAATCACCACCTCTCAAAGGTCTGTATATTACTGTTGTTTCCAGTGTATCTTGTTTCTGCCCAAGAGAGACTATCGGAAACAGCATGCCTCTGGGTAAAAGCATATAATGCTGTATGAACTTTGCTGGCAGGGAACGAGTCAAGGACTCCTGAGAGCAAGAGAAGGGTCCGTTGAGCAACTTCCATAGCCTGCGCATCGATTATATCCTCTTTGAAAATGTGGGCTCCATTCTGCATTTTTGATGATCTATCTGGAATCCGCTCGGTATAGGATGAGGATGGTGGATTTTGTATATACGCCTGGCAGTTTAGCTTGCAGATAATTGTTGTTTGGTAGCTGATTGTAGGCCTTGGTATGGACCAATGTTGCTAGTTTCGAAATGACCAATGTTGCTGGTTTCATGTCAGCACTTGCAGCACCTCTTCACCTCTATGGTGGCCATCAACATTAACTAGCTAGCTAGTTTGTTCTGCATCACCAGTCGCAGGTGTCTGATACAGCTAATGTATTTTGATTCCTGGAACTGTGCTATCCACACCAATATAAGACCCATTGAGTCTCTAGTCTTCTTGCTGTTGGTTGCGAAAATCATTCAAGCTTGTCTGGAGGAATTTGTGTTGGAAGGGCCTATTCGGTTTGGAGGAATTGAGTTGTTTCCTGTGAAAATCCTGTAAAATTCCTGCGTTCCGAAGCTGTTGGAATTTTTATTGTGCCGTAATAGTTTCATGGAACCGAGTGGATCTCTTCTCCGTGGCATGAATCGTGTAGTGTTAACGTTTGCTGTATGGAGAAGAGATGCACATCCATGTATATATGTTTTGTCCATTGCTTATTCGAACAGAGGTTCCGTGATTTGATATGGACAAGCGTTAGATTGTACCATATCCCATTGGCAAATTACAAGCGATTTTCTTCGCTTTTCTAATCACAAAGAAAAAAAATTGAAAATATAACTATATGAAATCTCTACAACTTATAGAAAAGAAAATTTTCCTTTGGTTTTTCTAAATCTACATTCCTATGAACCGAATAACATTCATAGGAATTAATTATTAGGAATCCAAATATTTGGAAATCCTTCCAAAAGGAATAGGCAAACATTCCTCGGAATTATCATGTGTCCACTCACAATAATAAAATAGAGGAAAGAGAAATACATACTTTTTTAAAAAACAAATCTAGTACCTAATGTAACATATCCTAGTATATGTCCAAAATTAATATTAGGATGTGTCACATCTAGCTCTAGATTTGTTTTTTTAGAATTACACAGTGCAACATAGACACTTACAACGCACGCACACTCACCCCTATGAACGCACGCAAACTCTACCCCTATGAACATATTCGAAAACTAGGCTAGCAAATCCTAAAGATTGGTTTTAGATACGTGGACAACCTAAAATCTCAAGCTAAGAGCAGCTCTAGTGTGGAGCTAAAATCGATTTCAAAGTAAAAAAAAAGAGAAAAAACTAATCGTGCATACTGTGAGAAAACGAACTGTGTTTGTCATAAAAAAAGAATTCGGCGAAGTGAGTATAGCTCAACTAGTTAGATTCCTTGTGGTGGAACCTACCCACCCGGGTTCAAATTCTAGATTTGACACGGGTGTTCGCATTTACGGCTAATTATTCTTTCAGTGGTAGGCGACGTACCCGTCGACAGCGAGGCGCCTGTGGTGACTTCGTCAATCTCAAGACATGACTGAGCTCTCAAAAAAAAATGTTTGGTTGAAGGTCGGATTGGGATATGGCCACCACCTAAAGAATATTCCTAAAGAATATTCCTTGTATATGCTGGATGGGTGCATCCGGTATCCCATCTTAACCCTACCTCCTCAGGCGACACGGCCGGCGGCGTCCGGCAGCACGAGGGAGGCGGTGTCCAGTGGCGGAGTGACGTGGGCAGCGGCGTCCAACGACTGCGCGTGGGCTAGGGTTCGGTGGCGCGGGCGGCGCGGGCGATGGCGTCTGGCGATGGTGCAGACGACAAGCTTGTTCAGTGGCATGAACGGCAGGGCCACAGGGTCTGCTAGCGCACGAGCAACCTTCCGGCAGTGATGTCTGGCAACTATGCATGAGGCTGAAGGGGGCCATATCCCAAAAAATGGATGGCCATATCCCATCCTTCCTTGATCATGAACCAAACATACTTTTATTGAAGCTAATCATAATGTAGATTGACAAATTCTCGTAAATAGGGACATATTATCATCCAGATTCTCAAAATTGGTAGCTATATAATATAAAATGAACTAGGGGTAGCTACATAATATAAAATGAACTAGGACCAAAAGTTATAGGTTTCTAGCTTCTTCAAATTCTTAAAAACTAACTACCAACCAACTACTCCCTCCGTCCAAAAAAAAGAATCTAGAACTGTATGTAACATATTTTAGTATGATGAATCTAGACAGAGGTATGTCCAGATTCGTACTATTAGGATATGTTGCATCCAGTACTAGTTTGGTTTTTTATGGGACCGAGGGAGTACTTCTCACCATAGTGTCTGTTTGGTGAGCTTCCTGTAGATGCAACTCTCCTAAAATCCAGCTTGCGGAAGCTCCCCCAAACAATCTAGATTTTCACATATTCTGAGAATATGCAGTTGTACAACTCAAAAAATGAATTAGAAGCCGGAAGCTGGGTAAGCTAGGTTTCTCAGCTTTTCCAGATTCTCACCAGCTGCTTCTCAGAGTCTTAAAACCAAGGTTTACCATTTTGATTTCGAAGTAAAAACTACTCACCGGTTTACCAAAATCTGACAGAAAATCGGTAAAAACCGACGAATTTTAGTCAACACCGTATGAAAACTGGTTAATACCGACCGGTTTTCATCAAACTTTTCACAAACCGAGACCTAGCGGTTTCATGAAAACTGATCGGTTTCATGAAATTCAATCGGTTTTGTCAACCTGTTAAAACTCCTCAAACAGAGTACTTTATGTTTACTTTTCCAACCCATCTCTCTCGTTTTCAACATGCATGCTCTTCAAACTACTTAACGGTGTTTTTTTAAAAAAAAAATTATACAAAAGTTACTTTAAAAATCATATTAATCTATTTTTCAAAGAAAACTTAATACCTAATTAATTTTGCTCCGTTTTGCGTGCGTGGAGTATTTGTTGAGCCTTGCTACCATCTTCAAATCCAACAGTGCCCGGAACGCAGATGCTGAACTGGACGAGAGCCCAACCAGAAGAAGCTCATAAACTCAGCCCCCCGCAGCTACCACCAAAATCGGCACGCATCTTCACCCTCGCGCCCTTCTCCTCCCTCGCCTCGCTCACCCATCACCTCGCTCGCAGCCGAGCTGATCCGGCCGCGGGACGGGGGAGGTGGAGGCCCAGCGTGGCTACGCCGCAGCCCCCCTTCCCTCGCTCCCTCGCTGGGAGCTAAACCCTAGCCGCTGCCGCCGACGCCGCGAGCGCGTTTGCTGGGGGTACGTACGCTCCTCCTATTTCCATGGCTAGAATTTCTATAAAATGTTAGATCTCCGTTGTAGACTTTCTTTTTTTTTAAGTACTGTACTAGTAGTACCAATCTAGGTCTGGACCTCTACCTACGTATCAAAGTCATTTTTCTTTTTTTTATCATTATTATTTAAGATATTCAATGCAATGAAAAATTAAAGAACGATTTTGGTTACTACTTCCTAGTGTTCCCCTTCTTTGCTGCAAGTTATTTTTTTTGCTGGTCAGTAATTAAGTAAAACCCCCGACAGTGTTGGAATGAGAGAGGGCTTTGATTCCCTTTGAGGAAGGACGGGTTATTTTGACTGACACCCCCCCCCCCCTTTCTTTGATTCGATTTGGATGGTGCGGTTTTGCATCGCATGTATGGCCGAGGTAAATCACAAGCGTGTCATGTGTGCTTTGAGCTGCGGTTCGCTATCAGATTATTAGGGAGACAACTAATTGAACCCGATGATTTCTATACTCTCCTTTTATACATCTAATTGCAGCCATATATCTGATTTTTTTTCCTTTGAAAGCACACACGGCATCGAAGATTTTGAGCTTTGGATAAATATATCAACCTCTTCTTTTTTTGTTTGATAACATGTGCACGTTTTATGTTTAAAGAATTCATGCAAGCATGCTTTTACTCTAGTAGAATAGTAACACTGTTGCGATGAATATAAGTAACCTCTTTTTGCTGTATGACTTGCATGCAGGTCTACTTGATCGCGATTCCAGCCAAGAGTAACTAGGATAGTTTTCATGGGCTGAGAAAACAAATCTCTAGATGTAATCTCAACCTGGCTTTGCTTTCGTGATTGGTCTGGAGAGTGTGCACGACTCAAGTGTCCTCAGAATAGTTTGTGGAAGGCAACTACTTGGAGCTGCTTTCATGGGAAACATTGTTAACACTGTAAACAAGTTCTCGGGCAACAATGCTGATGGTGTTCCCTTCCGGAGGTGCTCTTACTTGCCAAATAGTACTTGTGACGAGAATGGTAGTTCAGTGACCAGAAAATCTGCTTCTGCTACAAATGGCAGTATTAATGGACATGGTACCTTGTATAAGGATGTGGGTAATGAGGAAATGCACTTGGCTACAGACAGTACTTCTAAACCAGGGTGTCGTGGTGATACTAATCACTGTACTAACAAAGAAAGAGAAACTCGGAATGTAATTGTCCACACCGACTCAAGACAAAATGGGGATGCTACTAATTCTGACAATGCTGTTTTAATTTGCAATCAGACGGCTGGTCATATGTCCTATGGTTTGGATGGGGAAAGTAATAGAAGTTCTGGAAGCTTAGCGGCTGTGGTTTCTGAAGTTCTTGTTAGTAAAGCACCACTTGAAAAGAGATGTCGTACTAACCTTCAGGAAACTGGAGATTTGGAAAATACTCCAAATGCACATGTGAGCAAAAGGTCGAGACTGCACAGGGTTTCTCCTGCAAACAGTCTGTTTGATCGTGAGGCTTGTGATGACTTAATTGATAGTGCTCATAATTTAGATTGTAGTCGCACTCCTAATGCTTCAGTGCATGATGAAACGGTACCAAATGAAGATAAAACACCTTGTACTTCTTTAGATGTGAGAGGTTGTGAAGGTACCCCTAGAGCTTCCTTGAAGAGACGAGTGAACAAGAAAAGAACTAAACGGGAAGCATCATATCCAACGACACCACTAAATGGAAATACCGGAGCTTTAGTTGTAAGTGTAATTTTATTTTCAGGGTACCTTACTTATTATGTTAAGGACTTAAAAGTGTTAACATGTCTACTGTTGTTGTTTACAAGTGATTTTTTTCTTCTACCATTGCTGAAACCTTTAATGGCTTTTTACCACTAAAACAAGGACCTTATCTCATTTTCTTTTCTTCTTTCCATATAAATACCAAGAAAATCACGGTTTTATTAATTGCTTCTCTAGAAATTTACGTAAAAGCAGGTTGCACATGTGTTTAAAGAGGCACACTCGTAGGTGTGTGCATGTTGTGTGTGTGTGTGTATCTTCCTTGTAATCACATAAGGTGGGTATATAGTTCTCAAGGGTGGCAAAAGAAATTACACAAACTAAGATATTTTAAAGCTTGAAACTGCATAGTGTGACCACATGTTACATGTTTAAACCAGTACTCTATGTATATTGTGGAAATAGCCTCCAATTCATATAGGTATTGCCCGCTCATATTGAATTTGTACAAAAAGTTCTTTTGAAATTCATGTGTTCCAAACTGCCAGCTATGGTAACTTATATGGTTTGGCATTCGCAGAGTATGTTTGAAGTTATTTAAGGCAAACTTTCTTACATTCGAAACTAACGTTTCACAAGGTTCAGTAAGAAGTTGTATTGGCTATGCAACTAATAGATAAAGCCCTAACCAAATGTTTTGATCATATTATTTGCATTATTAAACACATCCTTTGGTTTTCCGAAAGGCAAATGGTATTACTCTGGTTCCTAATTATAATGCCAAAGGCGTTATCAAGGGAGTAGGTAAGTACAAGTTGACACAACATGTTTGTTCTTTTAAGGAAATAGAGGTTGGGGGGGGGGGGGAGTAGGTGGAATGCTCACTCAAGCCATTTAAGGAAGGGGTTCACTCTGTGGTTCTGCAGAAACTTTGTTGCGATCATGCTGTTGTCATTGTAATAAATAGTCACCTGAATAAAAATCAGACATTCAAGCAATCAGCAAGTTGTGCAAATTCTGGTTTTATGTTTTTTTTGTTTTGACACTTTAGGCCTACGTATTGCCTGCAATGAAGTTGCGTATACATTATGAATCCATTTGTCTTTCAATGTATAGTCTCATTTGCATGTGAAATATGTATGCTTCTATTGAGAACTTATTTAATAGTTTGTTGAAATTTGAAGGTGATTGAACCTCCCCTGACTCGTACTAAGGCTAAGGGTAAGGCTTTATCTCTTGCTACACCTGAATCTCTCAAGAGAAGCACTAGATCAGGTGAAGTGTTTGGTCTTTGAATTTTGAATACCGCTTAACCATTTATTCATTTATTCATTTACCAAGAAATGTGTTTATTTTTTTCAGGTCGACTGATAGTTCCACGGTTGGATCCAGGAAGCCAGAAGATTATATATGACATGGTTAGTAATAATATAATTGTTCATTTTTCTTGAAAAGAAAACATAAGCATTCATTTCTGCTGTTACCATAATCAGAAGTTTATGTAGACTCGTGCTATGTAATGTTAAAGTTATCAACTAGCACAAGTATCATAATGTATGTGATCAGCTCTCAAAATTGAAAAATTGTGCTAGCACAAAAGCTGAAGGTTCACCAGGGATGCTGCATAACCTGATGGTTTGAATTGTTTTCACTTGGAACATTATTTCTGTGTACTTCATTGGAGCTGTTTTCACTTGAATTAAATTTACATGCCCATCAAATAGTTCAGCTGAAAATATAGGACTATGATATTAAAACTGCGGCTCATTATGTCTTCAAGAACTGTCATTAGCAGTGCTCACTATTTTCTTTCATTTCAGTGTTGAAACAGGTCTAGTGTATAACTAAAATTATGGGTGTGATAATGATATGCCTAGCAAGTGTATATATCTTACTGAATACACAGCTTTATTCACAGGACGGTTCTATCCTTGCCATAACCAACTTAGAGTCACCCCGGCTTCAAGGTTCGTTCAGAACTTCAGACATTTCACATCCAATTGTCATGCCCATACTTTTCCAGTTTCTTGTGCCTGATGATTTAAGCAAAACCTATTGTCAAGCTATGCCTTCTCGTCTTGCAACAGGGCCTTATTCGGAGCCGCCTCCTAAGAGGAGGAAAACGCCTCGGTGTTCGTCCCCAGGACACAGAAGATTGCTGCCATTCTAATGGTGAACATATGGTGAAAAAGAAATTCTGACACTGTCCACTGGCATGATGATATGGTGTCCAACCCGTTGTGCATCTGTGTGAAAGCTTTTTGTCCTTTTAACCAGCTAAGTAGAGCTAGCTTCTGTAAAATGTATCGTGGGTACACCATGATGTATGTTTCTTTGCTAGGCTTCGAAATGGATGCTTGCTAAAATATGGGCGTAGGTATTTTGCATACAATAGATGGTGTTGACACCCTGTGAACTTTGTAAGGTCACTTCCAGTTGAGAAACTATCCTTCGTGTACCCATATTTCGTGCAATGTCATGCTGGGTTTACCTTAAGTGAAAACCGCTACTGTCGGTTCATCGAAAAGCAGGTGAAAACAGCTCCTGTTGGTTTATCGAAATTGATGACTTCCCAACCAGAATAAAAACCAGCTAAAACAGCTTGGTTTTTATAAACTGACCTATAGTGGTTTCATGAAAAACCAAGCGGTTTTTGCGAAAATCAGTATTGGAGAATGCTACCAGACGATAAGTGCAGGATGAATGGTGGATAATGTTCCCTATAACCCAGGAGTTCTATTTTGCGCACCAACCTTTTATATCTGGAAATCAAGCTATTGTTGTACTGGATGCCTGAAACGTGTACATAATCAGCAGCTGATGTCTCACTCTGAAACTTCTGTAGTAGGTTCACTAAAATGTACTAGCAGTTATATTTTGTAGAACAGTTTTATGTAATGGGTTGTTGACAGTTGGCACCTTAAGCTACTCCCTCAGTCGTAAAAAAAATACATTCCTAGCATCTCAATATGAAATTAGTGGAGATGGAGAAGGACTAAAATACCCTTAATTACTGTAAAAAGTAGTAAGAGGTATCGAGGGGATAAAACTTAGCATCCCAATGTGGAATTAGTGGAGATGGAGAAGGACTAAAATACCCTTAATTACTGTAAAAAGTAGTAAGAGGTATCGAAGGGAAGCTGATTTTTTGTGGGATAAAATTCAAACACTAGAAGTTGAATTTTTTTTAGGACGAACGAACTAATTAGGAATGCCATCATGGGACGAACGAAGTAATTAGGAATGCCATCATGAATCATGAGATGTGGACTCTTGTGATGCCAGCATGGTCGGGTGAACAAAGGTTGTTTCATTAATCTGGAACAAAGTTGTTTCATTAATCTTCCTCATTTTTCATGTGTAATTTTCAAGGGAAATATTAACACAAAGATCTTGTGGGAATCATTTTACTCCATTCAAATTTAGCTTGTTTTACATTAGTAGCTTCATCATTTCGCTTATGCTTATACTTATAAGCCAACTTTTTAATTTTAAAATTTAATTTTGGAGTTGATTTTGTAGTTTTCTTTATCATAGTTTATTTACAACATTTGTTTTTGAATCGCTAAGGACACATATGTAATGCATGATTAACTGAGTTTTAAATATTACAAAATTAAAAAATAGATTTACACTTTAAAAAAATTCCATTTTTCAAGTTCATAATAGTTATACTTAATTAATTTTCGCATCAACCATAATCTCAGCCAAACGGCTGAATCGAACTCAGCCTGAGTTTGCGAGGACAAAACCCAAAAATTGGTAGGATTGACAAAAATGCACTCAAAATTCCAAAATTTTCTTGCCCAGCCTGCTTCTACAAACTTCTAGTATGTCAAAAATACATATCTAGTACATTGACTACAATGTGCACATGACACAAATTCATCGTATCAGCCATTTTTACTCCGCAGATGGAAGGGCTTTTTTCACATCTTTCTCAGAGACAGCACCATAAAAACATAATCTTGTATCTCCTCCTCGAACTTTCTGATCGAGATAGCCCTTGTATAAGTCCCAGAACTCGTTGCTGCATGGTGATGCCAAAAAAAATTAGAACAATGCCAATGGTTGTGCATTTTTTTTTCTTTTTGTGGTTAAAATATTGTTGTCAATATACTACCTGACTTGTGGCAACGTGAATAAGGTAAATGACTTTGCATCTCTCTGCATGTCAAGTACAACTAGTTTCACCCGTGACAGAGATAATGCTTCCATGTCAATTAGCTTCTTGATCCTGAACAGGAAAAAAATTGTGAGATAAAGTTAATAACAGAATAAGCATGCAGTACTACTGCAGGAAGCACGTCATTTTTGCTGATATTTAACAAACAAGGAAGAAACCAGATCACTTTTTGCACTGTCTTGAACATATATTTTTCTCCATTAGGCTCTTCACACTAAAATTAGCTCACTTTCCTAACATCACTAGCAGAAGCATTTACTTTATGCTTACCATAAGACATGAACACCAAATGTTTCTAGATACAATCTAATCATAAAAAATTTCGACTTCAAACAATGATCTAATGTTTCATGTTTTCTCAAGTAAAATGCTGAAAAAGTTAGCATATAATGATGGCATAGTTGACATTTTGATGTGGTTCCAATGACATGCAGAAAGCTCCAAACAAAATGAAGGGTATAAATGACCAAGTTAGAACTGTCATCTAATCTTTCTAGGGTTTTCTTTTGTTGCAGTCATAGTAAAGCTGTAAAGCCCCTTCAGTGGTACTGTCTCTAAGAAGACATGAATGACCTAGCCTGGCTATGGAGTTGAAAGTAACTGAAAATTTCTCTTCTGTTGAACAAAACATGACAAAGATAAAGATAAAATTTCCAAGAGCCACCCTTATTTCACAATAGAAATTTACTCATAAAAGTGAGATATCACATTTCCTCACAACCATAATATGCCAATATGCCTATGGTATCGTGTTGTCACACGAAAGAGATTAGCGAAACACTCCTGTGCAAAGGAGAATGCAGGCAGGGAGATAGATGGATAATAGTATTCAAATTTCGGCTTGATGATCTGAATATGTAACTTTATCAATCCGCTTTTTATTATTTCTGTTGGATGGCAGAGAAAAGCTAAACAAATTTGCTTGAACTGTTATCTGCTTGACATGACTGTTAACAAAGCTTCATCATTCATTCTTCTCTAATTAGTGATTTAGCGTACACTGATATGCTAAAAAAAAATCCATGGAATATAGCTATAAGTAATAAGAGCTAATCATTTATTTTCAACATATCGTGATTTTTCTTGAACATATTAGCTTATTCAGAAGCTGCTTTCAGAAGAATAAAAATATTACAGGTGCAACATAGGAAAATTTGGTTAGTTTATATCCTTTATGTTGTGAATAGGATACATAAAAAAACACTTACTAATACTTCAGACTATAATTTAATGCAAAATTGGTCTTGAATCAGCGATTTATTAAGGCCCCATTGTATGCTCATCAAACATAATAGGAATATGAGACGGGTGGATGCATGAACAGGCAATATCACATACCTGCTTGGTGTACCGCAAGCAATATTAACTCGAGTTTTAAGCAACGCAACCTGCAAAGAAAAATTGGAATTAAGGTAGAAACAAAAACACTAGGAAGCGGTTCCCTTGAAAAAAACACTAGGAAGCTGGAGGCTAAAAGCAAAGAACAACTGAATTTACACAATACAACATTGTCGTCTGCAATTCAGCAGAACTATTACATGACCAAAGCACACAATTATACTAAAAAGTAACAAATATCAAATCAAGAAAAAAATAATGAAGTGCAAAATCAATACAAGAAACCTTATCATTTCAACACAACATGGGCTATGACTTAATTTTCTTCTCTTCCTAACATAGTGATGCATGATCAGTACTCAACTAGAAAAAAGAGGTGAGAAAATGTTGTATGGAGTATATCCTTATATCAACATAGAGTTCCCAAAATTAGTCACTATGTTACACTGCAGAAGCATGATCACTTTTATACTTCCATTAAAACTGCAGAAGCTACACTGTAAGTGAGCATTCCAAACAACAGTGTTGTAGGGCTAGGTCATAAGGCAGCAGCATTATCATTTCAGTCATGGTAGAGAGTGGATGAACTGCAACCTTTGGTTTTGGTATGACTAAACAAAATGCAGTAACCTAATGCCACCCAAAATTTCCAACTGAGACAATACAAACCTGCTCCTCCACTTTCATGTGCTTAGCAAAGAGCTTAATAGGGCGGCACTCTTTAGTAAACATCTTTAAACCCCTGCAAAGTACACACCAACTATCGTGTCAACAGAACATGATCAATTATTTAGAACAAATCAGAATAATTTGGCGATATCGAGATAGACGCAACATCATATCCTGTCAATTCTCTACGGACTCGACATAAGGACACAACACAAAACGATGTGAACCATTCGCAACAAGTTTCTACTACCTAAGAAGCTCCAACGATCTCAGAGCAGCTGAGCAGATAACCAGGAGCGCCGGGCTGCCCGCGTCCACGGCGCCGCCATCGAGCTCCCCCTCACAAAGCTCCTCCTTCCAAGAGGAGCCAAAGGCCCCTTTCACATGGTCACCGAATCCCTCCACGTCCTGGCTCGCCCCCTCCGCGAGCGGCACCATGCATCCCTCTGCAAATCAACAAAGCTGGTAATCATTCATGGCGCCAAGAAGCATCTCTGGACTCTGGTGTGGGTAGGGTTTACCGGAGTAGGCGTCGAGCTCGAGCGGGGAGAGGCGCATCTTGGCGGCGCGCTCGAAGCTGCGGAGGAGGAACTCGAGCTGCCGCGCAGGGGGCATCTCGGCCGACAGGAGGACGCCACCGGCGGCGGCGGCGGAGGCGGATTGGTCCGCCTTGGAGGGCGGCGGCGGTTTCTTCTTCTTCGCCTTCGTGGAGACGGGATTGGTGGGGTTCTTGGCGAGGGTTTTGGTGGGTTTGTGCGGCTTCTTCCGCTTGCGGGTGGCGGCGGCGGGCGGCCGGGGCTCCGCCGGCGACATTCCGGCGTGGGTGGGTTCCGTGGCGGCGGCGGTTCTGTTGTTAGGGTTTTAGGCCCAGCCCCTGCTCGCTGCTCTCGTTAAGGAAAATTCCCCATCGTAATTTGGCGGTTGGACGCTCAAAAATGAATAATTTTAGACTTTCAAAAATAAAAATAATTTTGGGTTTCTTTATTGGAAAAGGAATAAGATTATAGTTCAGCGGTCGACTGAATTACCTCCAAACTAAATATTAGATGTTTTATGCTCTCAATTATTTATATCGGACGAATTACCGCTAACACTGTTATGAGTTGTTTTAACCTAGAGCTTGCACATGGGGCAATTCAATCAACAAAAATAATAACAATAAATTTGTAGGGCCCACCTGTCATCTATTTTCATCTCTCCCTCAATCTCTCCTCTCCACCATCTCTTTCCTACTCTCTCAAGCTCATAATGAGGGGCGGATAGAGGAAGCAAGAGAGGTGTGCCTCGGGATGGGGATGAAGGCCGGTGGTGGAGGCGAGGCGAGGCCCCCTCTCTTTTCATCTCTCGAGCAGTTGGTAATAGGGACGACGGATGGCTAGAGAAAGCAGGGCTTAGGATGAGATTGGCAACCGAGGCTAAGAATTGGGCGGCGGAGGTACCTAGAGGTGAGACGAGGCCCCTCTCTTCGGTCGCTGGGAATGGGGTTGACAGACAACTGTGGAGGTGAGACTTGGTATTAGAGCAATGGCTGGGGTGAGGCGGCCATTGGAGGAGGCGGCTAGAGGCGAGGTTCGGCATGGTTCTAGCGAGTGTGGTGGGTGTGGCAGCGTGGATCTGGGGCGGCACATGATTCTAGATTGTTGCCTCCTTCTATGGCCCCATCAACACCATCCTCATTGATGAGGTTGACAGCGCCACTGACAGCTCTACACCAACCACGTTGACGTCCCTGGCAAAGACCACCCCCGCATGAAGCGTGCCTCCGTCCTGGCTGCTCCCACCTCCACTCGCGACAACAACGGCATTAGAGCTCTGGCGCCTCCAGCATCAGGCGGAGCTACACTTCCACTGCCTCGTCGCCGAGGCTGACAAGGCCTACCATGAGTCTGTGACTTCCACTACACTGCTTGCGTCATCAGCAAGGATCATGTGGTCCTCACCTCCCACCGCTCGTACCCACACTTCACCACCACTACCTCTAGAAATTGTGTGCCTTGTCCTACCCCTCCACATTCAACATTCTCGTCGTCGTCCCGGACCTCCGTGCGGACCTTCCCGGCTTTGCGTCACGGCGGGAGCACAACACGTGTGGATCTAGGGTGGCAACACCGGACAACGCACGCTGGGGAGGGGTATTAGCTTGAGGGAGATAAATGACAGGTGAGTCCATACACTTTATTTTAATCTTCTTTGCTGATTGGATTGCCACGTTGATGTCACGTGTGCAAGCTATTGGTCAAAACCACTAAAAACAATGCTAGGGTAATTTGTCTGGTATGAATAATTGAGGATGTAAAATGTCTGGTATTTGAGTTTATGGGGTAATTTGGTCGATCGTGATAGTTCCATGTGGGTAATTCACTTTTTCCTTCTCTGTTTAATACTTCAACCATCCCAAAATATAAGAACCTAGAACCGGATGAGATATTTTCTAGTACAATAAATTTACAGCTAGGAAATGTCCCATCCAGTTTTAATTTTTTTTATATTTTGGCCCATTCGGTCCTAAGTTTTTATTTATTTATATCTGTCAAAAAGGTATGATGTAACATAAATTCTTCCTCAGCATAGTATAAAAAAGTGATTTTTTTTCTCATAACAATACCACAGTCATCACTGTTCGGCATTTGAGTTGAATTGTCAGCTAAAAATCGCTTCATCTCTTCCAGCAATATCAGATAGCCTTTGCACAATAAGGCTATGTTCGGCAGCCATTTGTTGCCACCTCACCTTCCTTAGTAAATGGCTTTCTAAACTTGTACGCGTGTGTTTTGAAAAAATATTCTATAAGAAAGTTGCTTTAAAAATCATCTTAATACATTTTTTAAAAAAATAGCTAATATTTAATTAATATTATACTAATGAGTTGCTCCGTTTTACACGCGTGAGGTATCCTATATACTTATATAGTTCATCCCCACTAAGTGTAATTCATCTAGTTTTCCCAACATCATCCACCAAACACAACCTAAGTACCAATACCAACTTTACATGACCCTTCATATTTATCAATGGGAGGAGGAGGGATTGAGCGTGGCTGTAGCCGAGAGAGCATAAGGAGGTTAACCCGGAGTAAGTTGTAACACACAACTTCGCATCTTATAAGAGGAGAGCACTCACATAAACCAAATGGTTGGGGAGACATGACTTAAACCTCCTCTGTAATGCATATGAGGTCTTGATCTTGTTTTCTATGTGATTGCTTAGGGTTCTCATAGTGGTGGAAGTGTATTGACCGTGAATACACGGGAGAGTATATCCACATCCTCATCATATGATGATGAGGAAGTGGTGTTTAGGGTTAATTCCGTAGCTGCAGGAGAGGATGACAACTGGGATCTCATCGGTAGGTTACATGTATTTTTATAATCTTTAATCACTATCTATAGTTTGATGGACTATATAAAGTTGGGCAACTTGAAATGGTAATGTAGAAACTACCATTATGAAATTACACAAGTATCAACTTCTCTCCTTGGCTAGATTTAGAACAACTATAAGCATTTTTTTTATCATAATTAACACGTAGAGCTACGTAAGATGATGTGTTGAGCACTTGAGCTAGATGCAGAAGAAAAACCTTTTCCAATATTTCGTGGTACTAGCCCTTTACATTTCAGGCATAGACAAATTATTTTTTGTTTTATTAAGAGCAAGTCTAATAGAGCCGCCCACTCCTTACTCCAATTTCTTATACATCATCTTTACACAATTGTAGAGACACCTCATACAATCAATGGGGCTATAGTACTATACATTACATAGGGATTATTTTATTCTAAATAGGCTACATATCTATCCTAGCTATCTTCTCCTTCATCAGCTTGTGCAAGAAACCGGTCGTGGCACCAACGATTGCCCTATGTCTTTCCAACCAAAGAGATCGAAGACTTGCTGCAAAAGTTAGATCAAAATATCATGATGAATGCTTTGCCGAGGAAGATTGTATGGAAGCAACGATACAAAGGACAAGCAACTGCTTCAAAGTGAAGCTCCATCACCATGGCTCGTAGAGCCCCACTAGATCTAAACATCTTTTTTTATGCAATGGCTAGCTATGACTGATGTTGCTGCCCGCGATAAACATAAACGACGGAACTACGAGCATCATCACCACTCGAGACAAACCTGACTTAAAGGAGATGGCTACGAGCCAAACACCGCTGCCTCCCGTGGCAAACATGAATGAGGCGACCACTAACGCTGCCGCCGACGAACCGGAGATCAGCGATGTCAAAGACATCGAGCACTCCTTTTCGCTGCCTTTTTTCTCTACTATTATCCACTCATGGTGCCATTTTGCCCATCTTCTTGTAGTTCATGTGCAGTTCCGGTGATAAGTTAATCACCAGTTTGTGTTCTCTCACCTCCTCTCTTCCCTTCAGTGCATCGTTCGAGTCGATCTACGTATAACCATTGTCGTCAATCCTTACCGTTCTATTGTACATGCTATAGAAGAGATGCCATTTTCAATAATAATTTTCTTGAAAGGGAATAAGACTCCGAGATAAAAGAAAAAAAATCAGATTATCAATTAGGTACTACTTCCGTCCTAAATTACTTGTCGCTTTGAGTTTTTTTTAACGTTTAATTATTCGTCTTATTAAAAAAATTATGAAATTATTATTTATTTTGTTTATGACTTGCTTTACTATCAAAATTATTTTAAGTATAATTTATCTTTTTTATATTAGTACTAATTTTTTAAATAATAAGATGAATGGTTAAACGTTGTAAACAATAAGTCAAAGCGACCACTAATTTGTCACATAAGTGGTAGCCCCTGAAGCAACGGGCGGCAAGGCAAAGTGCCCTAGCTTGTTGGACCGACCGACCGAGTGACCTGAACCTGTTCGCGGTCGCACCCGAGAATCACCGACCGACCCACCTTATCACTCGTCCTCCTCCTCGACCCAAAAAAAGCCCAAAACCCAAATCCCCACGGCCTCCACTCCCCCTCTCCTCCTCCGCCGCCGCCGCTGCAGAAGATGATGAACTCAAGTAAAATGGGGACGATTAGAATCATTAGTTACCATGCATTCATACTAGATTGTTTGCCAAATTAATTATTCAGTGTTCTCCATAACACAATCAATCCATGTGTGCTGTATTCTGGTATTTCTCTAATTGGTTTCTGAATGAATTTTATCACTTGCATTAATGAACACATACATCCATCAATCCATGCATGCTTGTTTTCCCCCAAAAATCGTTCAGGATTTGTATTTGGACTTGAAATTTGTGCGGAATCTTGCATGGAAAATGCAGGTAGTACATCAGCTGTTGAATCTGTCACAAACCTTCAGGCAAGAACACCACCCTCTCCCAAATCCGGTGGCGCCTGAGACCGGGGGCGCTGGCACTAAAGCTGGCAAGCGCGGCGGCGGCGGCGGCGCGAAGCCGCCGGCGACGAAGAAGAGGAGAAGCAAGCACGGGTTCCTGGGTGTCCACCAGCGCACGTACGGGCGTGCGGTGGTCGGCCGAGATCCGGGACAATGTGATCAAGGGGTCCCGCTTGTGGATCGGCACGTTCGACGTGGCGCTGGAGGGTGTCAGGCGTCACCGACGATTTTCGGCAAAATCTATAGCAAAACTACTTATTTATATGTTATAACATCATGATCTAAGTATAATTAGCATACTATAACATTGATAGACATGTTACGACACCAACGAATCGATTTTCTTGATCCGCCACTGGTTGGAGACCGCGCTCGCCTATGACGCCGTCTCGCGCAGGCTCTACGGCCTCAACGCCAAGGCCAACTTCGCCGCCCGCGAAGACCTCCCTCCGCTGCCGCTGGCGCCGGCACCCGTGGTGATGCCCTATGCAGCTCCACCAAAGCGGCCAAAGAAATGCAACACCGCCATGGCGCCGCCGCAAGCCGTGGATACTCCGGCGACG